AAAAAATGGCTGGCAGTCAATGAGAACCTCTTTTTCAAGGGAGTCCTGTACAAAAATTACATACAATTATAGATTATAAAATAGTCACATACAATTTCATAAAATTACTGATTGTAAAAACAGTTACATTTCACTAAAGATTTCTCAAGTGCTCTCAATCTGGATCTGAAAGCATTCAATACAGTCAGATCATTTCCAGTCTTTTTGCAACACGTAGCATGTAGAAGGAGCAGTAAATAAAAAAACTTCTTTAGGAATGAAACCTCTGCCTTGTCTTTGATGAATACTTAGGCTTATCACGCTACTGTGTGGTGTTTGTCATTTGTGGAAGTACATGGAGAGGCAATTATTTTCTGAGGGGGTACTTAGTGTAAAAAGTTTGAGAACCACTGTCCTAAGGAATCCCCATGCCATCTGAGAGGTTATTCCAGATCTGGATCTTCCTCTGGGCCTCTGCCCTGTAGGACATGCCCAGAGGGGCAGTGGCTCTACACCAAGCTCCTCCCCCTATCCCCTCAGGGAGCTCATGACCACTCATTTGGACCCCATATAACCACCAGTTATCGTGACTCATGACCAGTGTGAAGTGTCTCGTTATTTGGCTGTGCGATAACAGAGCCACATCACTAAAGACCGTTAATCTCACACTTGCTTTACTGAGAACAAAACTTCTTCCAATTCATAATCCTCAAGTATGATCTGTCCACAGTGGCACATGCTGCCATTGCCAAATTTTAATAGTCATTGAATAGTCAACTGTAGGTCCTGCTCAGATCGTACTGTAGTTTGAACTGTAGGTCCCGCTTGAAATAATGGAAAAATTACTGAAAAAATTACTGGAAAAATTAAAACATAATTGTGGTTTCCTAAAACAAAAATTACACCAACCATGCAATATCTTAAAAGTACTGTACATTCACTGTTGGACAAACGGCAGTTTTCAATGTCACATCTATACACTTGAAGACAACAAAGCTGCTGTATGTGTTGTTTTTCCACTGTGCCGTTCCGCTGTTTGTTTTCTCACTTCCATCCGGTGAACATTTGCTGTCTGCCACCTCTGTCTGATTCCATGAGAAAGCAGTGTTACTTTATTTAGCAGAGAGCACACACAAAAACTTACAGAACCTTTATTCGTCCTACTGTGGTTACATTTCACCATTGGTATATCAAAAGTCTTAAAAAACTGCCACATTTCTAAATATTTTTTCCAATTCTGGTCAAATCTACCTTATTGAAAATAATAGGAACTTAGGATGAATGCAGAACTGGCTCCTTTTCCCCTTCAACACATTTCCCTTAGAAACACTTCCATCAGAGCATTAGTAACACATTATTGATGGGCCTTGATTGGTCCCAGTGAGAAAAGTGCAGTAAACCCGATTCTGTATAGAGAAGAAGGTCCAAAAGCCCCGTAGCCAGATTAGGGAGGGATCTGAGGAAACGCACTAGAGAAAAAGGACTGGACACACACTGCGCAGCAAAACCACAGGAGTCCTGGCTACAGAACATGTAAGCCATGGATAAGGAGGCAACATAGGCCAACTAGTCATTCAGTCAGCACATGGAGCCAAACACTAAGGCGTGTTTTTCTTCTGGTTCAGGGATGGTGGCCTCACATGCCGCCAATGTTAAGTTCAAAATGTTGAGATCGTCAAAAGACACGAGGTACACGAAGTATTGATCACTGACCGAAATGACAAGCTGTTCCCAAGAAGGACTGGTGTGTGATTCACTTTGGTCTCACATATCTTGCGTCTTAACAGTATTCATTTTGTTTCATGTAAAACAAAACGAACATGTTCATTATCCACTGTGAGAGTGAGACCTTATTTGAACCATTGGATCTCGTAAAAACATGAAGTTTAGGTAATTAGCCTTCTCTTGTGCAACCAACAAGAAAAAAAAGAATAAGGAAAGAAGAAAAATATAAAATCTACAAGTTTTTAAATATTACGCTTTTTGACTTTTCTCTGGTTTAAACATGATTACAGTGCTATTTGGCCTTCATACACATGCCATACAGTAGTTTTTCATTGATTCTCTCAAGCTTTAGTAAGAGAGTGATCTTTCTCTTTCTTTCATTCTCTAGAGGCTCACAAACAGCTCGTTTCAAATCGTGATGTGCACCAATCTGTGACGTCAAAAGAGAATCAGTGCAGTCTACAGTCAGCGCATGCAGCCTCTCTCCAAGTCCAGTGTGTGGTCCAAAGACAGTCAATACTTAATAATAATATGCTTCGTTATGTTAAGAAAATGCGTTTTGGGTGTAAATATTTGACGACAGTATTTGGCCCGAAGACAGAGAATGAGGCGAAAGGGGGTCGACTTTGTTCACAGGGATCTGCCTCGAATCCGCGAGTTTGAAATCTGCAACAAAACTTGCAGATGTTTTTTTGCGAGTGACGGTGACAAAGACAGTTCCAGAGTCTAATAAGGAGAGGACCAAAGCGTCAAATAGTGACTCACAAGTTTTCTAATAAGATGAAGACAACATTTTGTGGTCTGATTTCAGATTCAGATCAGATTCAGATTCATTTATTTGCCATTTGCAGTAAAACCACATTGGAAAACTGTGCAAGACTACCCCGGTGTGCACCAGACAGAGAAGACGACACACACCAGAGCTCTTGCCACGGCGCCATCTTTACGGCGCCATGCGACAAACAGTAGAATAAACAGCAGAGAGCAATAACATACAGTTTCACAGACAGTTGGATAGACACATTTGTGCTTTGTATAAAGCACAGATTTTTTCTCGGGATGAAGCACCTCCTACAGCCGACCCAATGTGGCTGTCAGAGGGGGGCGGGGTCAGGGAGGGGGTGAGAGTCGGAAACACAGTGAGGAGTGGAAGGGAGGGAGGGAGCAAGATGGATAGAGGGAGGCGGGGGTAGGGGATCCAAGCTGGAGACTGAAATAGTGTGAGTTGTTGTAGATGGGACCTTTGTTATTATGGCCTTGGCCCGAGGAATGTGAGATAAGAGTGGAGAGAAGGCACAGGAGGAGAAAAACACATCGCCTCAGGGGGACAATAATAAATGCAATGTCAGGCAGATATTCTATTAAATCCAATTAAACCGAATTGCGGCGCCCTCAGACCCCGTACACAGGGGCAAATCCAAGCCGGGTCAGAGAGTTCAAGCCTGACACACAATGTCATTCAATCTCAATTCCAGAGTTTTATGTCCATCGAGTGAACGAGCTGCGAGATCTTTTGTCAACTGTTCCACCAAAACCACTCTTCTTTGTCCAGACACGGCACTCTCAACCACGACGCGGCTAAGCTCCTTGTACATCCCATCAATTTTGACGGCCAGCAGGTTGTGAATCTTGCGAACTGCCATGCCTCCGAATTTGTGGTAGAACAGGATCGCTCCAAACCCAAACAGGAGGATTCCCACCACCAAAATGCCAAAGATATATACGTCTTCCGAATCTTCAATGGACAGGGTCGACAGACAGAGGGGGTTAAACTTGTTCCAGCTGTCAAGAGTATACCCCGCTGGTGAAGTCCCGTCCGGGCACACGGGCTCTCCAGACCCACGCTTACGTGTTGAAAAGATAGAATCAATTGCGTTGAGGGACCAGTTAATCATTTCCATTCTTGTTAAAGTTGTCTGTGGCAAAACTCCAGGAAAAAGACAAAAACAGGAGATAGCAAGCAGTCAGAAGCAGGAGCGTCTGAGACACGTCTTTGCTCGACGGAGGCGGAAGTAGATTTGTTCACAACCTCTTGCTTTTACAAGACCCTTGTTGCTGGGACAAACAAAATGTAGAATTCATGAAAAAATAAGTTTGCAATCTACATTATGTCAAGTGTGTCCTGAATATTTGGACATGGCACCTGCTGGGGAATCCTATACCCCATCAAGCTACATCTGTACGTTGGCAGGGTTTATTCGATTCACAAGATGTTCCTAATAACCACCAGGTCTGTCCAGGTTGTGAAAGCAGAAGGCGGGCATGTTTGAGAAAGTAGAGCCAAGGCCACTGTCAGGTATCAACAGGGACTGGGAAAAGAGCTCTCCTCAGTTGTTAGAAAGAAGGAAAAAAAAGTTTGATCAAAGTTATTTTGCCTCATCCATCTCTGACTCTCCTGGCTAGTCATAAATCATCTTCACTGTGCCAACTGTCACGCTTGGTCCCTTAGCCGTGAAGAGCTAATTCACCAGGATACCACTCAAACAGATTCCGCTCTCAGCTGTTGGGCCACGGAAAAACAGTCCACACAGGAGAGAGAGCTGTTGAGAGTTACAAATGACGGTCCCAATTTGATTAACACTTTTGTTGAGTTTTTGTCCATGTTTAGGGTGTGACAATAACATGGTATTTTATGCTTTATTGGTATATTGTAAAAACCCTAAAGTCGAGCACAAAAAGCAGAATTCACAGAATGACTATAATGCTTAGTCATTATAATAATGTAATGACTGTTATTTAAAATGTATCTCCAGTTTGGATACATCTAAATTTGAAGGAATGTTAATTTATGCCGGAAAAAAATATTAAATACACTAAAAACTATATGTGTCGTCATATATTATTGAATAGTATAATTATCAAAGATAATTTTTTTAAAGATGGAATTTGTTGCATTTTTGTTCCAAGTTTAGTACGAAACGGAGAAGAACCTATACTACAATTGACCAAATGTGACGGGTGAGTTCATGTATAATATACTGAGGTTTTCAAAGATTGGTTTGATTTACCTTCATTCTAGTTTTTAATATTAAAACTAATTCACAAATATGCTTTACTTCGAAGTAGCACTGTACTCTTTAAACCTTTTTAAGATGTCACAAACCCGAGTGGGACAACCCTTTTAAGCTGTAAACTCCCTTATGCTCGAGGGGCATAAAATTATTTGCTTGGCTGCACAAGGCCATATCTGCAATGCTAATAAACTCCACTGGTACTGGCAGGTAATAGGACGACGGAACCTTTTTCTACCTCAGCTCAGCACAGCTCAATCAGCTTCCGCCAGAGGCCCCTTGTCTATGGGTCCCGGCGGCTCAGAATCAGCAACTTTCAATCTCGGTGTGTTAGCGCGCAAGAAGAACGCAAGTGCACGTTTGGGGAAGGGTGATGAGACCAGCAGACAGCCTAGCGTGAGAGCGAACGGGCACGTACAGCGTCTAATATCTTTGAGGTCCCTGGGTCCCTTTAAGAGACCTCGGAGTCAAAGGGGATGAAATAAATACTCTGCTTTATTACTAGAGAAAGACAGGAGTGAGAGAAGAGAGGAAAGCAAAATGGAGATCATGTCAAATGCCATAGAGAGGTGGCAGAGGTGGAGAGATGTTTCAACTTTTCCAGTTAGCAAACCTCACGCACGTCCAGTCAAGTTGTACAGCGTAATAACCATGGCCTCAGCATTAGAATAATACTAAACAGTTTACTTTATCAGGCAAAAGCAATCCCCAGACCAGTTATACTAGGTTCTAACAGAAAAGAATTGGTAGAGACAGTAGTGGACAGCAAAGAAAATTAAGCTCTTTGGCTATTTCCCAGAACCAAATATTACAAGATGAGGCTTGGAAATGTGATGTGCCTTATACAAAGTCTTGAATAGTGCTCTTGTGATCATACACTATAAAAAGAGTCTGGAATCACCACATGACTCAGCGTTATAATGGAATACAAGCTGCAGTTGGCAGAAAGAACACTCCATCTTGTATTAATAGCCAATGGTGCTTGTGAGAATGGACCGGAGCAGAACAAATGAATTATGAAACCATGTTCAGTAGATTAGACACCATTCAAATTAAATAGTCTATGGTTTTGATATAGATGAGTTTTTTAAAAAATTCACTAGTCTAATTATTAGCCTAGTCTATCCTACTGGTCGGAACAATGATACAACTCTAACATGCATCTAACAGCTGTGCCAGCAGTCACGGTGTAAGTTGTAACACAGTCCTACTTACTGAAGCTGTACATATCTACACAAGCTTTCTAAATTGTTTATTTTGGTGGGAATATAACCTAAAATAACAGGCCACCTCATATCTATATAATCACATCAACTACAAGTCAGAATCTCTAACCTGGGAGAGTCTCAAGTGTTTAATCACTCTAGCTCTGCATCTACTCTATACAGTTATGTTAAATAAATATGCTTCAGTTGGGCTGTCACTAACGATTATCTTAGTATTCAATGATTATTATTTTGATTAGTGGACGAATGACCGACAACAAACAACTTTAATGTATGTACAATTTGTATGTAGGCTTATATATAGTTATAGTGCAGTGCTGTGGTGCTCTAGTGTATACATCCAGGTGGTTATGCACATTGGTAGCACCTAAAATTTCTAAATAAATGCAGGGAAGAACCAGCCCACCGAGGGCAGAACCAGGCCCCAAACCTCAGCGCACCGATGATGAGCCGCGATGAGCAGTGTGACTGACTCGTCTAGACCCAGAGCTTCTTGGAATGAAGCAGGACGACCCGCGCTGGTGATTGTTTGGTCATGTGGTGGTCATTGTTGGACTACAGATGCGCTTGTGGTTATATTTGTTGCTAAGCGTCGCCTAAATAGGGGAATTAAACTGCATTGTACTCAAACTCGCCCACATTTATTTGATTATATTTAGCTTTTTGTATCGGTGCATTGCTCCAAAAGGACTCGTCGACAATAACAAAATCCGTCAGCTAATTAGTCGCCATAAATGAGTCCTAAACATTTTTGTATATTATATGTTTGTATGACTGATTTTTATTCAGGTGTCTAATCATGATCTACCAAAGTTGAGAGGTTTTGAAATGCGATGATTACATTTTTGGCACAGTTTCATTTGTAAATGTACATGATCGAACAATCGTCCAAGCCGTAAATGAGAACAGAACAATCTTGTCATTAGCGGGTGGTACAAATTAAGCTCTGTCACCTAAAATATAATCATTATTAAGCTACTGATTTATCAAGTGGATCAGGATCTTTATTAATGCCCCATATTTAATTAAATTTGAACTGAGCTTACCCTCGCTTGTTGATTAAAAATTGTCTTGGGAATGAAATGAATGTTGTGCTATATAAGTGTTCCCTTGAGCTGAAGTCAGTGCTAGTGGGAGGTAGCTTCCCTGACCCACTGGCACACACACAGTTCCCTCGAGTCCTTCTAAAAACAAAGATCTCCCCTGATACTATCCTTTATCCTCCCTCTCTCCCCCATATTCCATCTCCCCTCTCCAGGAACAACTTTTCAGTTTTACATCTCCTGCGCTGCAGCCTGTCCCTTGTGCGAGCTGTAATCCACACTACTCTGGCAGCGCTCCAGCAGACATGGGAACACCACAATGGATTACGGAAGAGAGGGATTTGAGAAGGAGATCAATGGCAGAAGGTACAGTAAAAAAAAAAACGAAAAAGGAGTTAGTGGAGTGAATATTATGAATACTATCAGCCTATATCGCCATAGCACCTGCAAAAATAATTAATACTTTATATTTACAGCGCAATCAAAGCAAAGAAAGTGTGTTACTTTGTGCAGTTACGCAATTATAAAGTGAAAAACTTTGAAAGATTTTGATATTCATGTGATATTCAATGTCCCATCAATCTATTTTGACCCCTTTAAAGCTTGGGAACCGAATAAATCTCTTAATCTACTTTGTTCACAAAATGTTACTTCAACAAAACTCTTTTTGTTGGGACAAACCAAATGCATTCATGACACAAAAAAAATGCAATACTCCAGCTTTCAAAGTGGTGTCCATTTAACTATTTGAAGCAATGTGAATTTCACGACACGCGATATTGTTACGTGACTATTTGTCTTTCTCACACACATTTGCGCTCAGCTGCTGCTCTACCTCCCTCCGCGGTGACCTTCACCTGTCACACAGACTTCATATTTACAGTCACCACGGCCCATCTGCCCACGCTCAGCCCCCCGTGTCAATCAGCGCGGTCCCCCCCTCCCCTCCTGCCAATCCATCAGCGAGCCCCAAAGCACGAAGCAGTGTCACGGCCACACCGCCGCCTCGACACCCGCAAATCTGCATGCCATTCACTGCCCCGCAATTGGTATGAACTCAGATTACAGAAGATTATTAAAGACATAAAAAAAAAAAAAAAAAACTTGTGTTGATTTCATGGCGACGTGCATCTGTGCAGGAATAATAATCCACACATTTTAAATCACTTTGCGTCTGACGCCACACGAGGTGCAGAGTGTGTCACTGGGAGGGTTTTTCCCATTATGTCAGGCTCAATGCAGTGGTTGTAATCAAGGTTTCAGTATTGCCATTTAGAAAAACTTCACCTTGCAGTTTAAATTAGGGATTTCTAATTCTGGGGCATTTGCCACCGTTTCTTTAATTGCCACTTTATTTATTGTAGATAATTATATCCTGCACAGCCTATATTTATAGCTTTTACACACTTCTGTCTTTTTCACTAATCTGAGTGATTCTATCTATGCCAAATGTGACATGTACATTTCTCCAGTGTGAGATCAATAAAGTCTATCTTATCTTATATTATGAAATATGAACCAATACTAGAAAAAGGTCTGGGGGGAAAAAACATTGTTACAATCAGTATCATGCACTACTGAACAACTTTGTGTAAATTCTAATATAAAGTCCGTTCCCCATAATTCTCGGCCAGAAAACCTACAAGTGAAAAACAACCTACAGTGAAATTAGATAGCCTTAACACCATCTTCTGCAAACTACTCCCAGAGTTCCGAGTAGAGGACCTTTACATAAAAAGTTTTTGCATTAACATGACTTTCCTTTGATTTTCCAAAACCCCATTCAAACTGCTCTGCATCGAATGGTTACACTTTTAAACGGTGTCACAAAATTGCCAACCCAGGCTTTCTTCACCAGTTCTCAGCACTTTACTCCGTCTGAATATTGCCAAAATCTCTCATCATTTACAATTCAGCCAGACTCCTGACAAAAAAAGTTAACCTTGGCATTGTGATGGAATATATTTGACGTTACCAGCCCAACCAGAATAACATCTGACTGACAACCAGGGCCAAGTGGAAAAGTTGGTATGCAAAAACACAAGGCTAATTAAGGGTGAGGTCTTGGACATGGCTCACCTGACACGGAACTAGGCGACGCATTCAGCACTTTTACACTCCACTTTCTCTCCTAATAGGTTGCAGTTGCCACCGGTTGTGCACAGTCAAACCTTGTTAGTCATAATTTTAGCCTCATGTGGGTCCAAAAAGGTCAGCAAGACACATTTATTTTTCACACACACCAACCAGCTACAGCTCATATTTCTTTTTCCGCTAGGCTGAAAAAAGTGGGGCATTACAGCGCACAGGTATACGGTGGCTGCTGGGTTAGAGTCCACGGGATTCATCTCAATGACAAGCACACGTCCGCTGGGATATTTATCTAAATGCAAATCAGGCGTTTTCACATATGCCATTTACTTTTACAAGGAGCAACAAACTGTAAGTGAAGAAAGTTAGTGTCAGCCAGCCTCGAGTCCATAACTTACCAAGAAAAACCTAATACGTATTTACAGTGAAGTTTATGTATGGATATATCATCTTATTTTGAAAGACTTTAAGGAAATTTGCTGATTCAGGCAGAAAGCTAAGCGCCTAGTCATGTGGAGAATATGGACAGGGTAAATGAGAGTGACAGGGGTTATAGGTCAAAAGGCTGTACATGGCTAAAAAAGTGTATAATTTTGAAATCAATAAATCATTTTGACACTGTATTAATCTCATGGAATATTACACACATTCAATCGTGCATACAAGTGAAACTCAGATAATTAGAGTTTCTGGTGCACACCGGGGTAGTCCTGCACAGTTTTTCCAATGTGGTTTTACTGCAAATGGCAAATAAATGAATCTGAATCTGAGAATATTGTTCAGAAGTCCATTTACTGCAATTCAACTTAAAATGTGAAACAAATATATGACATCACACGCAAAGTGAGATATATCAAGCCTTTATTTGTTGTAATGTTGATGATTGGCTCAAAGCTGTTAAAAACCCAGAATGTTCAAAATGTTTCCCCGAGGAAATTAGAATGTTTGGAAAATGGACCGTGAGCCAAAATCCTCAAAATTATATTAAACAAAGGTTTGGCATGCAATGAGTCCGTATCATCTATTGGTGTCACATTTTAAATTGAATTACAGAAACAAATGGAGTTTTGAACCAATTTCTTATTTTCTGAGGTTCGCCTTTATGTAAGAAAACATAATTAAGAGATATAATTACATGAAGATAGTCCAAACACACAATGGGCGGCAGAGTGGATAGCACTCGCTTTTCAGCAAGAAGGTCCTGGGTTCGAATTCCGGTCGGAACAGGGCCTTTCTGAGTGGAGTTTGCATGTTCTCCCTGTGTCTGTGTAGGTTTCCTCCGGGTACTCCGGTTTCCCCTACCACTAAAAACATGTACAACAGGTCTGGCTTGTGCCTCCTGTACTGGCGACACCGCTCTCTCTGTGTAGTGAGAGGACAAATGCCCACAATCGTAAACTGCTTTGTGACTCTGGTCTGTGAAAGGCGGTATATAAATAAAGATCACTTACTTACTTACTTACAATGATTGTAACTTAAGAAGCTGTTGGCATCGTCAATAGCTAAATGTACCGATTACTTCTAATACCATGTTAAAAACTTACAGATTTGAACATGGAACAATTAACACATCTCCTCTCAGTTCAGAAAAGTATTATTTCTCTCAAACTGAACTTGAGAAACAGCTTACCTTATAGATAGATAGATAGATATTATTTATTTCAAAACCTTGACCTAACACCTGCTCTGTCCAAACTTAGGTAAAAGGTGACCCCAAACATTTCCACCGTAACCGACCTGGAGACCTGCGGTGTAAAGTCCAGCCTGTAAAGTGATCAATGAAGCAGAAGGTTACCCTGGGTCTCGTGTTGGAGAAACAACATCCTGATGCTTTCTGCACTTCTACGTAGCGGCTGTTAATTAGGGCCGGCTAAGTGCACCATTAATCGATTGCTTGTCTCTTTGCTATATCTCATAATGTTGTGTAGGACGCTGGCAGTGGCAGGCGTCGAGATATGTTCACAAAGTCACACCCTTTTTTCTGCAAAGGTGAAATACTGGCGGTGGTTAGAAAGCAGGCAGGGGGTTAAAATTTACACGTAACAATTGTGTACATGCTCGTTTTCATGTAGGAGAAAAACATGCATCTTACGTCTGTGTTTCTCTCCGTCTTCTAAAATAAAAAGGCAGCTCAAGGTTTTTGCTTGATTCTTCCTGATGTTGAAGTGTTTACAGTCTAACATGTAATGATATCCGTCACATTAAGTCACACGTACTTTTGACATAATTATATTTAAGTGATGACAAAACTGCAAGTGAAATCGTCGATTAGAGAAGACTGTCGAGGCCCCTGTCACTGTCACATTTCTTTTATTTGCAAATACTCTTTCTTTCCTCCCTATAAAACAGCATAAGAGAGACAGCATATCACCCAGGTGATAGACAATAGTTGGTGTTCCAAGGTAAAAGTTATACAAGTTAAAAAACCCTTTCTGGCGTGCAGGAATTGTAGACAAGGGAAACTTTTGAAGGCTAAATTAATCTAATAAAATTTCATTACAAATAGAAACTGAAAAAATTGACAGTAAAAGAATATGTAGAAAATTGTTTTGTTTATAAAATTATCTACAGTATGGAAAAGGTTTTCTTTAAGTTTTGACAGTGCGTAAGGCTATTGTATTGTTCGTAGTATAAAAGAGATCAATAAAAAAAACATCTGAATATTTTGGGAGCAGTACAAAACTAAAATGTTCAAGGTAGAATCAGGATGATGTGTCCCTGCCATTCTGTGCAACTGACAGCTTTTACATTAATAAAAAGTCGAAAATTGGTTTGTGAAAATCGGTAAACGGCTTGAGGGCCACATTTTAGATGTAGTCCTTGAGAGAGACAGGCAAAAAGAGAAAGAAGAGCACAGGGATCAGACAGGAGCAGGGGCGGTGCCAAGGGGAGGCCTTGGGGAGCTCCAGCTCTCTCAAGAAAGGCCAACACACCTAAGATTATTTTCTTTTAGAATTTCATTTTATTTTAGGGTCTGACAATGTTAATAGTGGAAGTCATTAATTGTTTTGTTTATAGTAAACCTTGCCTTTATAAAAAGGAGAATAGGGCACAGTCACGAATTTACCCCCACAGGACAACCAAGCACTGGAAGCACTCAGTATCCCAAGGCCCCAAGGAACAAATGTCTGAAAAACCCAAATCAGGAATTTACAAGTTTGTCTTATAGCTATAATTTTTGAGAGCAAAACTAGCCATGGTTGTGATATCATCTTCAGATTATAAAATAAACTGTGATTACATGAGCTCTACTATCCACTCTTTGTAAAAAAAACTTAATTTGTGAATGAGACTGTAGATAAAAGTAGTGCCTATTTGTGCTTTCTTGACACATCAATAATTAAGAGTCTCTGGTCAGAGGAGGCACCCAGGTGAGGGAAGCCCACTGTCCCGCGGTGCCCTGGTTCACCCCAGCCGCTCATTACGGCCTCGTTACCGCTGCCTTCTCCAGACCCATCCTCTGTCACGCCTTCATTAAGCTCATCGACCCAACGTGCTTATTAAACACATTCATTACCCCCAGTATTGAACCAGCGCTGCCAAGGCCAAACCCAGATGCATCACAGGAGCAGGGGCTGAAGATGTGGTGGTGAGCTATTGGATATGTTAGATGTTGCAAAAAGGGGACGGGTCACGTACACAAATGGCCGCTGAAGAGGCAATTAACCGGTGACAGGTATGGACGTGCACAGGGACGGGCACCTTTCTGCAGAGTATCAATCATAGCTAATGAAGTGCTTGATTAGAGCGCCTATGGGGTTTCAATCACATGTACAGATAGCATGGAAATGTCAAAGAGGAAAGGGGCGCATTTTGGAAAGAAACCATCTATCCCATTTAAATTGAGAATCTCTGCTTGAATTTTGAACCATATGCAACAACATTTGGAAACAACAGACTATGCTATAAACCAGGAGTGTCAAACTGGTCCAAAAAGGGCGGGTGAGGCTGCAGGATTTCATTCCAACCAAGCAGGAGCACAACAGACACCATCCATTTCCTCAACTCTTGAGACTGGGCTAACCTGAGGAAATGGGTTGAGTTTGGTGTGCTCCTTCTTGGTTAGATTGAAATCCCGCAGCCACACGGGCCCTTTGAAGACCATGTTGACACCCCTGCTATAAAATAAACAGATAAGGATTTGAATGGACCATGGTGGATAGAAGAATGGACAGCAGCTTGATTAAACAATTTAATTAGCCTTTTCCCAGATGAAGATGCCATTTAGTCACACTACTTTGCATATAAATGTTTTGTTCTAGGCATTAGAAACATGCAATTGCAATACAGTAGTAATCATACTCAATGCAGCAACTATTTCCTCATTCAACCAAGAATCTCTTCAAACCACTTTAGCCTCAGTCAGGTCTGGCTCGGACATCATGCACCAGAACACTCCTTGTAATGTGGCCTGCATAATCAGAGGTTATAATGCCCCAAACAATGAAAGGAAAGCCATCCTTGAATGGACAATACCACAAAATGTTCTGGAAATGTGGCATAGCTAATGTATTTTATGGTGCATTATACAGAAATGTTTCTAAAGGGCATCACTAAAACTGGACTAAATTATACTTATGAAAAGACACAGTGTCCAGCACCACCGGCTGAAAATCAACTCACAGTTCGCAGTTTAGGAAGTGGGGGATAAAGCCTGGAAAGTGCTTAGTTTAAACCACTCTCGATGACGCTACACTTGTGTCTTTTTAGCTCAGCTCGAAGCCAAAGTGAATCCCACAGCGGGTCATTCATCACCACTCATACAGGCCTGGCCTCCATCCGGGCCCAGGGCAGCCGCTTTAACTGACGACATCATTTGTGCCCTGCTCAAACAAAAGTAAAAGTCATCATCAGCCAGAGGAAGAGTCGCAGAGAAAGAAGAGGGGATTAAGGTGTGAGCGAGGTGCAGAGATGGGTCATGAATCATCGTGACACCAGGGCTGGCTGCGTGTCAGGGCTGTGGCGCTTGAGAAGGGGAGGGGGGGGGGGGGGGTGACAGGAGTTCTGCTAACACTGGCCAGGTCAGAGCCAGCGGGGTTTTAATATGAGCCAGGATTTTGAAATTTAAATTAATTGTGAGGAAGTTACCAGATGTGATATAGTGGAAATCTCGGTCCACAGAACTGCATGCTCAAAGGGTGTGGGTGAGTCACTTTAACAGAGGAAGCAGACAAGAAGTTTAGGAGCCCTGATATTCTTTTGTTACAGTATAGAAAACAAAATCTGAAGCAGTAACATTTGCATTGATTACTGGCCTTATAAGACTTTTTACATCTTAGTGTTACAGTACGACAATGTAGCTCAGAAAATAGAAAGCATCTCTGCTTGTGTACAAGTCTCTCCATGGCCTTGCACCAAAGTACATCTGCAACATGTTAGTGCCATTTGAACCAACGAAGGCTCTAAGGAGCACAGGGACAGGCCCCCTGCTGGTCCCTGAAGCATTTCAGATTCATGTAGCTAGAAACTGGAACTTCCGGTCCTTCTACCCAAATTCAGGTTCCATATGACTTTTCTTGTAACCACTTTGAAAGGCCCAGTGTACAAATTATCCCCAGAAGTTAAACCCTTCTCTTGCTTTGCCTTGCCTTAACAAATCATTTTTTATGTTATATTCATGATTACAGACACCATGACTGAACAACAGTGGAATACGTTTTCATTGTATTCTCACAGACTTTGAGCACAAATGACATAAAGAGTACTTAACATTGATTAATCTTGCTTGTAAAATTGTCTGAAGTATCTATGTTTTTACAGACATGTACTCATTTAGTGACTACCTGTTGTCTCCAATTCCAGTGGCAGTGTTTAGTCTATTACGTATCTGTATTACTGAACGGCCACTGCTGTTGGGAGACGATGCAAACTCTGCATAGCAAGCAAGCAAGGATCTTATGAGAGGTGAGAGCTATAAAGTATTAAGATTAGATTAGATATGAGAGTGACTGTTCTCGGATTTCTTCCAGGTAAATGTCACCTGGTACCTTTCCAATAATAGTGGTTTTTGCATGAATTTCTGCATTGTTGTTATTACAGTTTGAGGGAGATTCATCATGGTGAACTTTTGCCAAGTACTTTTTTGTGGTTGACTGATTGATCGGAAAGTGGGTCTTTAGTCAATCAAGAATAGTGTTGGTCCGCTACAACCTCAAACAACAAACTCCTAGTTAAAAATACTTCTTCCATGTTGAATTAATTGCCCAGCCCAGGCAGGAGGCACCAAATCCAAATACCACCCCCCACAGCTCAATCTCATAAAAAGAATGTCAAGGAAAATATCAGAGACTAAATCAACAGGTTATAATGCATTATAGCTGTCCAATGCAAACTGATTTTGAGAAATTTAATTTTTCTGCTTCCAGCTAAGGAAACAAGAAAGAAAAATAGTGTTGCCTGAAAAGACTGTGTCACTCAGAGATGTTTTAATATCTTTACATTTTAAAAACAGCATGGACTCTTGTATGATTCGGTATTCAAAGGGAGCCCCAAGCTGTTTACTCCTCTGCCACGTAACAGCGCTAGATTCTAGTCTTAGGACCCCCTCTACTGGTAACATCAAGTATAGAACCAAAAACAATCAAATATATAGATGAGTTCAAACATATTACAAAGAGGGGTTAAATAAAAGCGTGATAAAAGTGATACAGGTTTCATGATGGAAAACAGTGCACACATTTTAATAAAACCCAATGGAATGTAAAAGAATGTATTGCTTTGTATGTATGGCATTCTTTGTCATATGAGTCTTAAGGTTCCTTAATGTGTATACATTTTGATTTCATTAACACTGATGAAGATATACATAAGTACTAGTAGAATTTTAAAAACATTCCAACTTTATTGAGAAGCTTAAATGGTTAACAATGACGACCAAATAAGATTAGAGGTTAAACTTCAATTTAGTTCAATATATGATATATGCATTATATCCAAAGTGACATTTCCTTCTGTCCCAGTAACAAACATTTGAGACATGCAAGTATCTTTCTCTGTGTTTTTTCCCCACTACCAATAATTATCAAAAGATGGATGTCAAAGTTTTACAATTAGGAATTAAACATGATATAACCTGTGCATTTGTCGTTTCTGCTTATTGTATTAATAATTTCTTTGCCAACTGTCAAACCTTTGCTCTTGAAGCTATTTATCAGACTTGTCAATGTCTTTCCAAGTAAAATAATGTATTTTCATCTTTATAGAAAAGTGAAAGAAGATATGGGAGAGATTTTAGAAGAATAAAAAAGCGAGACGCAGGCAAAGAGACAAATTGACATTAAAGCTCGGAAATTTGGCAATGCGAACAGAGTCTTTCCACACTTTGACAGACGTAATCTCACATCATTAACGAGTAGCTGACGAGCTCATCTGACAACATCCTGGTGCTTAAGCTAAACCACAGTCTTTATGGAATAAAGAGATCTTAAAAAGGGCTCAGGACAATGCTTTGTTTGTGATTACTGAGCGATGTGCCGCTGGTCAGAGCCATACTTTATTATGTTGGATCACGAGTTTCCATTCTGCTGCTGTGGCAGCTGGCATCCATTCACTTCACTTCACTTTAATTTATATATAGACACACTATATATATATATGTGATAATACATAATAATAAATCGGTTTTATATAGCGCTTTTTTGGACACTCAAAGACGCTTTACATGTCATTATTCATTCACTCCATACACAGTGGTGATAAACTACTACTGTAGCCACAGCTGCCCTGGGGCACACTGACAGAAGCGAGGCAACCAGTCTGTGCTATCGGCCCCTCCGACCACCACCAACCATTCTCACACACACCAGACTCATTCAAGGCAATGGGGGTGAAGTGTCTTGTCTAAGGACACAACTTTACAGCCACATTTTACATTTTTACACACACTTTACATACAGTACATACATATATACATACATACATTATACTGCATATACAGATATACATCTATATACATGAGATGAAATGTTACACATTCTGTCGGAGGAAAGTGACTTTCTAATTTTTAACCAACTCTATTTTATTGGATTTATAGTTTAGGGATCAACAATAAACAAACATCAAACAAGTTTAATCAAAAATGTCTTATATTACTTTTTGTCCATTTCTCTTATTCTATAGTATTCTGGTTTAAAAAGGTCTACAACATCATATCCAACTGCAATCATATCATATGATAGCAGTTGGATAGCATATCACTTTCTTTGCTCAGACACTAATCCAGCAAATTGAATCAGCTAATGTCAATATACTAGAACGTGGCATTATGTTTCTCTAGCAAATACTCGGCACCACCTATTCTGACGAGATCCCATCCAGAGCGAGTCCAGTGTGACCAAAAACAACGCTGTCAAAATATGCCATCTATTCTTTTATGCAAACGTGTCATTTTTGTCCCAGGAGAGTTTCGACATGAACAAGGCAGGGATGGGGCAAGCCGTGAGGTAATTACAGCTAAATTGAGGGCGTATGGTAATCTAAGTAAGGTCAACTACAATTCCACTCCCATATTTTGCATTAATTAAAAGTGTAAACAATCCATGATATCCATTAAATAACGCATATTTTAAAATATAGATTACACGTCCTATCTCCATTTGGCCTATGTCTACATTAAAGAGCAAGCATGCAGTTTTTCAGCAGAAACTGTATGGGCAAAATTAATAGCCGTTTTTGTTAATTTAATTGGACTGAAAACTAAAATGTGTCTATACTATTGGGTTTGCTTCTCCACAGATCTCACTTGTTCTTGTTGATTATGAAATTAGGGAATTTTGGAAACTATACCAATACTGTGTTTTTATTCTTTTTTGCAGATTACCATTTGTGAATGCCATAATTCATAATCTTGATGTTAGATTAAAGATCATTAGCCAAAGATGCTAGCAAACAGCTAACACGGATTATTTTGTGAGACATGTAAAAGCCAATGTATGGATTATAAAAAAGACATGAAAATAATAGATTCACATTTGGTGGCCTGAATGATGAATGCTTATTTTAGAGGTTCTAACCATTAAAACTAAAAATAGAATGTGTACATTAGCAGAGCTGAAGTTGGCTGGATTTACATTGTGAAATTGTGTTTATGATCTCTGCTTTGGACTGCCTTGGCTTTAATACAAGTGAATTCTGCAGATTCAAACGAGAGTTGGAGGCTGAGTGCCCCACTCAGCCTCTCTCGTTTGAATCTGAATCAAACGAGAGTTGGAGGCTGAGTGGGGGGCAGTTACTTCCAATGATTACACAAAAAAAGTCTTAAACAATCAGTAAAATATTGGTCCATTACTGATGTCTTGAGAGACTGGCGGCTTCAAACGGTTAACTGAAGAATCTGTTCTATAGTTATAATCTTGATGAAATGTGTACATTCCCAGTCTTATTCCTTTTCATAAACATGCTATTTCGAGGCATATCTTTTTGTAACAAGACAAAATAACAATGTTAGTGAAAGCAAAATATATTCTGAACATATGTCAACAAAATCCTGAGAGCATAATTTATGGAAAAGCCAGAATCTAACAACATTATAGAAAAGCCACAATTATTATGTTAAATAGTATTACATTTCCCTCCATTGCTTTCAAATATAATAAATAATTGAAGTCAGATATCAGCATGTGTTTTCTGGGACTTGGAGAAAAGTTGGTAGAAAACGCACGCAGCATTTCCAGAATTTGTTTTTTTTGCTTTGAGTTCCTGAAGTTTTTCTTCGAGCCTCCAACAAAACTACTGTAAGATGATGAAAACCGTGAGCGTGCGATTCTTACAGCCTATGCCCTTTAAGGTGTGCAAGGAGATAACAGGCATATTGGAGGGCAAATAAACTTTGAAGAAGTAGCTGCGGTGCAATATGAACATAAATAGTTCATGAATGCTGATAAAGAATGCAAGAGGAGGAATCAGAAGCGTCACCTGCCAACAGGAAAAAAACATTGTGTGAGGGTTGTCTGTAGCCCTGGGCTCGTTTGGCCGGGGGCAAAGCTGAAATGAAAGACGCAAGGTCAATTTGTTCAGTGTAAACAAAAGTTGAGGCTGTGAGCTGCATTGTTGAACATTAAAATAGTCGCTGGAAAAGCAATGGCTCGTTTTCCCTTCAGTTTCACCGACATTTTGACTTTTAAAAAGATTAAACCACAGGAGCCCTTCCACAGATTGCATCATTGAATCCACTACAATCCCAGAGCCCGACTTGTCTGACTTCAAGTATGAAAGCAGAGAAAATATTAATAATTCTTGAAAAGGAAGAATTCCCTTTTGTGCATGTGAACTTGTATCATTGTACTTATTTCCCAAGTGTGTAGTCTCTGGTGTGGATGCAGTCACGGCTTACAGCAAAAAATACTTTGAGGAACTCCAAACCACAGAAGCAACCACATAATGGGAATAAGAGAAAAAAGGCCAAATCATTTAAGGTGTAAACAGAAGTGTGAGTGGGACCACACAGAAACATAGAACAGCTTCCAATATTAGAATTAAAGACAAAGACAGTTTCTTTTCAAACGCTATAGGAAAGAGGAGTGTCATTCATTATGCACAATAAAGCTACAACAACTAAGGCTGGATTCATTTAATTTGCCATTTGCCGTAAACCACATTGGAATGACTGTGCAAAACTATCCCAGTGTGCACCAAATAGTTCACACCGTGTAACTCCTCTTCAGCCCATTGCGCTGTTACTGCAACATTATGGGTGATGTCAACAATTCAGATTGAGAAAAGTTGCGATGGCGATTTTGGCACAGCTCTAAACATGCAACATTGCAAATAAATACAGTGGTGGAGAAATTCAAAAACACAATCATGACAAAGTGTTGAGAACCTGCTCCGTTCCAGGACAATATGCCAAGAAACCAAAATAATTACAACAGTGGTAGGGCTGAAAAATGAGGATGAAACGGATCCTGCTTTGGCTCAGAACTATCAGCATTTGTTTGGACATGGCTCTATAAATTATGAATGTATGCATTATAAAACGTATTTACAATAAATGCAAAAGAAAATACAGTATGACCATATATTAGGCAGAATCATCCTAAATCGAGGGAATGCATTATTTTGCAAGTAAGGAGCAAACAGTGGCATCTAGTGGGCATAAAGCTATTTACAGTTGGTTTGGGACTTTTCTTCCCAGTTCAGTTACAATGATAAGTATGAGAAAAAAGCAGGTTTTGTTCCACCGAAGAAAACAGAACTGTGTGAGGGACCAGGCAAAGCTAGAAAACCAAATGAGGACTCAACCTATCAACCAAATCAAGCCTCTGCAAGCGATGCAATTTACATTAATCTAGCTTTACATCTCAATTACCAATATCCAAAGTCCACTGCAAGGTTTGATAGAATGCACTAGGTCTAAGCAATGTAAGCAAAGCATTACATCCTTCTTGCACTCTGAGGTGTCAAGAGAAGCAAATGGCAAGTATCAAAACTATAGTGTGTACAATGAAAGCAATTACGAATAGTAAACAACCTGTGAATGTTAAAGTGTGGGACTGACCAGTTTGTTTTCCTGTAGGTAAAGTCTCTGGAGTTTGGGACAGCCTTTTGCGAGGGCCTCCATGCCTTCATCCGTTATACTGTAGCACTGGCCCAAGTGGATGTCCTTCAGCTCCCCACAAATACTCTCCCAACTGACACAAAAACACACAAACACACACCAACACACATTTGTTTAGAAAATACAAATAATGCAAGGGAAGTCAATGTCACCATGTGAATAAGCTGTAAAGTGGAAGCCTGCTAAGGTTCCGGAGGTGAAACTTGTGTCTTTAAACTCTCTATAATTGGACATTGCTAAACTCAAACTAAACTAAAAATTATGGAACCTGAGGGGACTTCCACTTGGCAAAGAAACGAACCTTTTTGAGTGCCTCATCTGTCAGTTTGTCCTGGTTGCCGACATGCACTTTGAGCAGCAGGGGGCAGTGTGCGGCCAGAGATGAGAGCGACGCATCTCCCAGCTGTTTGCAGCGATACGCGGTGTACTTCTGCAGCCCGGGACAGTGCGAGGCCAGTGTGGAGACGCCGCTGTCGTGGACTCGTCTGCAATCTGATATGTTGATCTCGGTCACGTTGTGTCTACGGGAGGCTATCTTCACCAACAGCTCATCATTAACCTGCAGAGCAAAAGAGAAGAAAGTCAAGCAAAAACTAAACTCATGTCACTTGATAACCGGCACTACAAGTCATGCAGAGTTTATTTAAAACTGTGGTATCTAACATTTTTTCTCTTGTACAACACATGCAGTTTGTCCCAATTCCCATCAGAAAGAGTCTGGTAAAAGTTGTGGCCAAATCAGACTGTATGCTATTCAATATATTTTTGAATAGCCCTATATCACAACAGTCAGAGAATCAAACATTTCAGAATCAGAATCAGAATCAGAATCATTTTTATTGCCACGTAAGTAACAGGAGGTCACAGACTAGGAAATTGCTTTGGCTCAGTGCAACAGTCAAAAAGAGATAATAAAAATAAGAATAAAAAACACTTCTAAAGAATACATTTAAATTTAAAATAGAGTTACAGTTACTATTTACAATATACAAGTGCACATGGTGCACACAATGTAAGGTGACAGCAGTACAGTGAAGTAAAGTGACGTATGATGGGCAGTAAAGTGACTTTATAAAGGGCGGGGGGACAGGTTAAGAAGTGTTCAAGAGTCCAACAGCAGAGGGGAAGAAACTGTTCTTGTGGCGGGAGGTTCTAGTCCTGATGGACCGCAGCCTCCTGCCTGAGGGGAGTGGTTGGAATAGTCCATGTGCAGGGTGAGAGGGGTCGGCTGTGATACGACCAGCCCGGCCTCGAGCTCGGGCGACGTACAGGTCCTGCAGCGATGGAAGGCTGCGGCCGATCACTTCCTCTGCAGAGCGCACGATGCGCTGTAGTCTCTGTTTGTCCCTGACTGTGGCTCCAGCGAACCACACGGTGACGGAGGAGGTGAGGATGGACTCGATGATGGCCGTGTAGAACTGCACCAACATCTGTGCAGGCAGCTTGGCTTTCCTGAGCTGCCGCAGGAAGTACATCCTCTGCTGGGCCTTCTTGATGAGGGAGCTGATGGTCGGCTCCCACTTGAGGTCCTGGGTGATGGTGGTGCCCAGGAAACGGAAGGACTCCACAGAGGTGATGGGGGAGTCCATCACGGAGGGTGGGGGTGGGGGGGACAGTGCTCTTCCTGAAGTCCACAATCATCTCCACTGTCTTCTGGGCGTTCAGCTCCAGGTTGTTACCACTGCACCAGGACACCAGCCGGTCCACCTCCCTCCTGTAGGCGGACTCATCGTTGTTGGAGATGAGTCCAATGAGGGTGGTGTCGTCCGCGAACTTGATCAGCTTCACGGAGTCGTGGCTGGAGGTGCAGTGGTTGGTGTACAGGGAGAAGAGCAGGGGAGAAAGAACACAGCCCTGTGGGGCTCCTGTATTTATAATCCGAGAGTCCGAGACATTCTTCCCCAGACGCACTCGCTGCTTCCTGTCCGTCAGGAAGTCAGTGATCCACCTGCAGGTGGAATCGGGCACGTTGAGCTGGGAGAGCTTGTCCTGGAGCAGGGATGGCAGGATTGTGTTGAAGGCAGAGCTGAAGTCCACGAACAGGACCCTGGCGTAGGTCCCCGGGGAGTCCAGGTGCTGTAGGATGTGGTGGAGGGCCAGGTTAATGGCGTCGTCTACAGATCTGTTGGCTCTGTAGGCGAACTGCAGGGGGTCCAGGAGGGGGGAGGTGAGGGACTTGAGATGGGAGAGAACCAGGCGTTCAAATGACTTCATGACGACAGACGTAAGTGCTACAGGTCTGGAGTCATTGAGTCATTTCGAGCACAGGTGCAAAACACATAGGAGACAATGGTCCAGAGGGGACGGGTGACCAATATCTATAAATGCTAATAATAAATGTCAACATTAGAAAACATTGTATCTTGATGCAAACAGCCCAGTGAGTCACTATTTGATAGTTTAGGCTGGGAGCTGATAGGCTGAGCAAGTGTGGTCCTCTCTTTTACATTTGAAAAGAGAGAAGTTCAACGTATACAAAAGAATAGGTGTCTGTAAGCTATAGCTTCTGCCTCGTCTTTTTTCAGACCTTATTTTTGACCCTTTTTTCCCAAGTGCCTGAAATAATTTCGAATCGTCAAAAATTAATAAACTAAACAAAACTAAATTAAAACTGTATGGCTCATAGGTCTGATCTAAGGATTTAACAGAGGGAAAAATACTGTATATATGTATGTAAAAACAAGCGAGAGAACAAAACTGTTTTGAGAATTAGGTACCAGTTAAATAGATCATATTGCAATGTATTCAATTGTATTATTGTATGCTTGTTTATTCCTGCAACAAAAACTACAGATGAACACAATTCTCTCAAAAGAACACCTCACATACTACTGGTGCAATAATGCATAAGGCTGGGTCAAACGCATTCATTGTCAGACTGTACAATAAGTCACTTTAGGTCACTAATGCACTAGGACTGACAAAACCTGCACTGCGATTGCCACTTTTTTACTGTACATAATTATATCCTGCACAGACTATATTTTTAATCTTAACATGTTTGCACACTTTCTCCAGTGTGAAATCTATAAAGTCTATCTTATCTTATCTTAATTCATGACACACTAGGAAAATAAGCCCTCATCACTTTGGCAAGAAGCCATCCATCTTTTAAATACTCAACCTCATCTGCAGCATATTACTTTCTCTGGTCTTTGATTCCTTACACCATTTACTGCCGTAAATATTTTCTGGAACTCGTCTCTTTGATGTGTTATGCTCTATATGCTATAAATAATTCAAAAGTATAAGCTTGATTGAGAGTTTCACAACCTCTCATAACTTTTCGTGACTTTTCAGCAGCAGAGTAGCTACACTTGGAACAGCAGAAGGACTTACTTGTTGTAGGCCGCTGAGGTCGATCTGCTTCCAGAACTGAAAGTCTAAGCAGAGGTCGCGCCAGTACTTGCAGACCAGCGAGGCACACAGACAGCGCTCCTTCACGGTCAAGTGGGACAACACCTGGAGAAGATAAACAAAACGGTGAATAGCTTGCTCTTTGTAGGATCAAAACAAAAGTCTTTACAATATCATCACCTATTATAGTTCTTAGAATATCTAGATCGAGAAGATTGGTATGAAACATAACACATTTCTATATGGGTGATATTGTAACAGATTAATTTCCAATAATGTTCATATTGAAACTTTACAGTATTTATACATATATTACAGAAGGATAAGATCAGAAAACCTTTTTAGTCTGTATTATTAATGTTTGATCTCATTTGCTTTATTATTATTCTATTTTTCTAATACCATGGGTTTGCACACTCTTTTGTCCCACGACACTATGTCTGAATGTCTGTGTTCACTATAATAAGATAAGATAATCTAAACTTTATTGATCTCACAATTTTTTTAATGTGCTTTTAATCTCACAGTACTTTTAATGTACAAAGCACTTGTATGAGAGTCTGCTATATACTCTTGTGTGATAATAAAGTAAGACTTATTTATAAGTGATTAATTAAACTTTCTAAAGCAACGATTTTAGAGGCAGAAATGTGCATATGATTTTTTTTAAGCAATTTTGATGTGTTGGGAAACATAGTTTGAGAATGCTTACTTTGAGGAGGATAGAGGAAGGCAGTTGGTTGATAGTTAAATGCTCTGTGGCTTCAGGAGCTTTGGGCTGGTTGTTTTCGTGGTGGTGATTACAGCATGGAGAGGAGTTTGAGCTGTGAGGAACATCTGCAGGGAGGCCCAGCCCACAGCAGCCCTCAGAGATAGAGGAGGAGGAGCAGGAGGCAGAGGGAGCAGGGCTGACGGGGGCTTGGCAGGAGCTGGGCTCATTTGAGGAGGACTCTGCTCCATTTTCTAGGCCTCCATCTGGGCCAGAGAAGGCACAACGCGGCTGCTTACAGGGAGTGCACCGCTGCACTTCAGAGCATTTCCTCTTGCAAACCTGTCACAATAAAACGTGCATTTTAAACTAAAATTGTACATACAGTACAACACACATTTTTGCATCACAAATGTAAGGAGTTCATTACGTATTATTTATGTTTACTCCATTTTAGGGTTTTTTCTAGGTTACACGTAATGCGTGACATGTCTCTTAGCTGTTGTTACCGGATGCAATCAGTTTGAGAGTTTGGGCAGATCCATCTGACTGACGACGCCTGACCAAATAATGGACTGGGGCAATGGAAAAATTGTGGTTACGGAGGAACATAATTATAAAACGTGGATACTAGAGGCAATTGAAATCAGGAAGCGGGTGCACAGACCATCAATCGAGACAAGGGGCCTTAAACCGAGATGAGGGAGCTTTCACCTTGGTTCACACATGGGACTCAGTTCTCCAGAGGCTGATGGATCTGCCCGATCTGTCAGACTGATCGCATCCAGTAACAAGAGCTGATAAGAGACAGGTCACACCATCAAGTGTCACCTCTGATTAAGGCGCAAACATGTCAGATAATTAAGAAGTATTAGCGTCACAGTTATCAAAATAACTTTCATTATTTGCATCACGTTATTAACTCATTAAGACTATTATTTTTGTTAAGGTTTACATATCTCAATACATTGTGTAAAGCTCTTTTAGTGCTTTTTGAGGAAAGGCTATGTAACACACTGACACGAATCAACCACGAATCAACCCTTGAATAACAATATGATTGCCTCAATAAATTGGTTATTTTTATAATGATTAAAACTTTGTGAAACTACAGCACACTAAGCAAACAGATTACACTGAATGTGACTTAACGTATAATTTTTCAGTGTACATAATATAATTTGATAGTAATGGGTTAGAACTGGTATGTTCACAGAATACATCAGTACAAGGAGAAAAACTAACTCTCATCTGAAGAGGCATTGCAAGAAATTGAGCCAAAAATCAAAAGATTCTAATTTAGAGTTAGACTTCATGTGGCAGTATCAGATCTAGAGGGTGAAGAGCTACTCTCACGCCTTTAGGAGACCAACAGAGTACAATATTGGATTAAATACATGTCCTACCATGTCGTAGTCGCTGGTACAGACAGGCACAGGGATAGGAACAGTCACAGATACTCCAGCGCTTCGAAAGACCACCGGTTGTGGAATCAGCTTTGCGGGGACAGCTGATAATAGGGTCCTGCTCTGGTCTTCTAAAAGTGCTAGTTCTCGTGGAGACAGTACAAACTTGGAGCAGTCCTCCGGTGATGCAAGTGAAGCGTATCGTTCTGCAAGTTTAGAGGCAGCAGTAGCAGCTCCTATTTCCACTCCAACCCCAGGAACAGTGACTGCAGTGATGCTGTTGTGGACTCCTGTCTTGTAGTGGTCCTTATCCTCGTCAGGGTGCGTGTTGTTACTGTGGATTATGAAGCACAGCATGCACGGCCCCTGCAGTAAACAGTTCCTCTTCTTCTTCTTTCTGTGATGCAATTTACGTGTCCGCTTCTTTAGGTGGAAACCATTCTTTGAGAGAAGATGGCCCATATAGATGATTCAAGGTAACTCTGAAACAAAGTTGTATTAGTACATAAGTCAATACTATAATGGACCACAAAGGGTTGATCTATAGACTGCACTTACTTAATACAAGTGCAATATTCAAAACGAGAAGCAAGAATCAACTTTTTAAACAATTAATAACAGTGTGTTGCGGACTGGGTGTCCATAGAAAAAATAAAGAATATAAAAATGTGGACACTGTTTTACTCTAGGTATTAATTAATTGCTTTAGTATTGTTAATGTGGCCATGTATTACATGCAATCAGAGCAAAATAATAAAAATCAAATACAAGAAATGTATCCTGTAATGTGTTCCAGGCAAAGGGCTCCTCAAATACAGTTGCCTTGCTTTGCCTTATTTACTCTGAATTGGTGCAGACTTCTTAAAGTAGTTCAGCACTTCTGCACAAGTCGAGCTGGGGTTAAAACAGAGAAGATCTGGTCAAGATAACAACCAAAGAATATTAATTGGTAGAAGAAAAAAAAAAAGAAACAAAGGACTTCGTAAAGTGTTTCCCTCCAGTCAAAAGCAATATAAACAGAGTTCCCACAAACTTGCTTCACAGAGCAGCGCCAGAGCCTGACTGATGAAAACAAAGATGTAAACAGTGAGCAGGTGGTCCACTCACTGCCACCATAGCTGCAGCAGACACCGGCCTTTCATAGGTTCCATAAACACAACTACTGCGACCAGGGTATTCTCACTCCTACAGCTGTGGAAGGCTTCAGCACCAGCAAATTGTTTAGCTCACCCATCTTTCCAAGCTAGCTGCAGCTTCCAACATTAAAGCACACTTACCAGTGCTGGAGGGGTTCCCACACCACGCACGGTTCTCGCATACTACTGCAGGGACCTCAGGGACTGTCGGCGCAACACGGAGAGTCAAGAGAAGCGCAAAAAGCTCTGACTGCTACTCAAAAACAACAGTGTTTATCCAAATACAAGCTGCTCAGGTCCTCTGCAGCTGCGAGGACGACACTTCCGCACAGAGGGGCGGAGCAACGGAAGCCGAGGAGGAAGTACCCCGCTCCTGTCTACAGTCTGTGCTCCTGTCTGGGCATGGATATTAATTAGTTTTACTCTGAAGGCAAATGCACTCAAAATGTGAATGTACTCGGTGTGGTACAATCGCGTACATTAAATATTAGATCGAATACTAGCATAAAGTACAATCATGCTAGTATCACTGCCCTAATCTAAAGGTTTTCTTATCTCACGTAATGTTGATGTTCTGACAGAATCTTCAACATAGTTCTGTGACCTGCAAAAACATGTTTTGTTATAATACTAGTTCAACACAACTTGACATACAAATATTAGAGGTAGAAAAGACCACACAGACGCTCACATACATGGGCGTGTGTTTCCATCTCCTCCAGGCGCAGCGACAACTCCCAATCCCAGAAATAGCTGCGTCTGTCGTGGAGAGAGAGAGAGAGAGCGCGCCTTGGGAAATGGCAGAAGTTTCACCTATAACGAAACAAATAACTAAAGAAAACCTGGACTTTAGATCTGCTGCAATAGTTGATTTTAGTATTGAAGAAGTTGAGGATTGTTTAGTGTATGACAAACACGGAGTCGCTGTTCCGTTTCAGAAATTATATCAAGACAAGAAATCGATCATCATTTTTGTACGGGTAAGGTTGAGCAGCTTCCTCGGTATGCATTGTATTCCTATGTAAACTAGGTGCAGTAAAGTGAATGCCAACCAAAGCAGATACATGGTAATCGTCTGTGATTTGTTTCAGAATTTCTTGTGCTACAGCTGTAAAGAATATGTGGAGGACTTGAGCAAAATCCCATTAGACACACTGCAGGTATGGCACGTTTATTCATCATTAGCTGGTGAAAACGAACATGTTTTAATACAAAATTTAGATCAAAGGAATGATACTAGTAATAGTGTTACTCTGTTGTTACTAGGCTCAATATCTTCCATATTACTGTAATGTCCATGCAACCTTTATAATACATTATCAGCAACAATACAGTTTTTGTATGCATAATAAAACAAATATGAATTATGCCCATTGTAACTTTTCTGTATGAGGTCTGCCTTGCTTGTGGCCATGGCAATTTGGTTTGGCTGGATTGCTCCATGAGTATAACTCATCTATCTACATGGAGACAAGAAGGTGACAGCTTTAGTCCTATAGCTATTGGCCAGGTCTATGAAAATATACTGGTTTTCCAATATATACTGTAGCATTTCTAAACAAGAAACATGACAATGACTAATAATATGATTACATTTGTATTTAATACTGCAGGGAAAACAAACATATACATTTGTACATATGTTAAACATCCTAGCAGAAAAGTTTCATTGTGTATCTTTATGTATGTGAGTATTTGTGGGATGATTGAGTGCTGCTTTTGACACTGTCGACCATGACATCCTCATCAAGAGACTACAGGACTGGTTGGGTGTTGCTGGCACTACACTAAGTTGGTTTAAGTCTTGGAGATTGGAAACTGTGTCTCAGATCATATGGCCCTGACCTGCGGCATGCCACGGGGTCGATCCTGGGACCTCTTCTGTTCAATCCCTACATGCTGCTGTTAGGTCAGTAACAACCGGTCCAAGTCAATGACTACACTGGAGGTAAAGCGGTAACATATCCGTTTGTACATGTGGCAGACTTCCCACCAGAAAAGTTGTGTATTGTATCTTTAAAATAACAATATGTTACAAGTTTCCTACTCACATCTGTATCTTTTACATGTGTCTCCAGACACAACGTAAACATTCACATCTAATATGATTAATCTTCATTTCACAGTAATTGTTTGTGTCAATATGTCTTTGAAGCTATAATTTGGGTTGCCAGTTTCTTTGGTGAAATCCAGTGTGTTTGGTCACTGCCTGCCCTCTGCACCTGCAGCATATATATGCTCAGCCTGAGCAGCAGCAGCAGCAACAACGCATGCCTTTAAAAGCGTAAGCGTCTCATACATGCGTCAACATGTTAAACAATAAGCCCTCTAACGTGACGGTTAAGGATGAGTTCTATATTACAATTTACAAGTGGATTTTTCCATTACACTCTATCACTTTCTGTTGCTCTTGACCGTTCTTGACTGCTTCCCCCCCCTCTCTTCCCACTCCCAAACATATATTTGTAATGCTTGCTTTTGTTTGTCTTTCTTTGTTTATATTTTGTAGGAAGGAAACATCAACCTTGTTGTGATTGGACAGTCTTCTCCTCAACATATAGAGGTTAACACTACACACGTTTTTAGATAGTGTATATACAAAGGAGAATGGCAACATGGCAACAAAATGTATTTAATTGTGACTCAACTTGATTATAATAATTTCCACTTATCTTCTCTGGGCCAAGAAAAGGTCACAATGGATTGAAAGGTCACAATTTAGAATTGATATCTGTTATAATAAATCACTTGTTTGGGTACCGTGTGTTTATGGATCGGTAAGCTAATCAAAATGGTTTCTTTTGTCCAGCCATTCTGCTCACTGACAGGATATCCTTATGAAATATATGTCGATCCAGAGAGGTGCATTTATCAGAAACTTGGGATGAAAACAGAAGCAACGTTCACAAAGTCAGGTATTTCAAGAGAGAGATTACGCTTTTTATTTATTACCAGAATATGGAAACACCTTTGTCTATGTACAGAATTGGAAGCATTACATTAACTGTAATTATTTATCTAAAGGTCACAGCAGTCCACATGTTAAGTCAAGTGTTTTCACTGGCCAAATTAAGAGTATCTGGAGGGCTGTAACTAGTCCAGCCTTTGACTTTCAAGGGAACTTACATCAACAAGGGGGAGCTATGATTGTCGGACCAGGTAAATCATGTCGTACATTGTTTTTCCTTTTCTCTGTCACATGAATGCATTAACAGTTCTTTTCCTTGGTTATAGGCTCTATCGTCCATTTCTTCCATTGTGATTTGAACCATCTGGATCACATGCCCATTAACTGGCTCCTGCAGTTGGCTGGAGTTCAACACACCCTGGATTTTAGTCATAGGCATAAAATAATCCATGTGTAGACCCTGTATTCATATGGCTGTATACATGGTTATGGTTGTAGAATCAAAGTCTACAAATGTTGTGTTATAATCATAGAAGAATACACATACATTCAATAATGCTGCTAGTTTAAGTGCGAGAGGCTGGTCCTTAATTAATATATAGTTCTATGTATAATTTTGCTATTATCCGTCAGTTTATTTCATAATTGGAATTTAGTCTTTCATAAAATGCAATAGAAAAATCCCAAACAATTTTAACATCCTACTCCAGGGTTCTCCAACCTGTAGCCCGTGAGCCACTAGTAGCTCGCCACCCCCTTCCAGGTAGCTCGCCAAAGGATTTAGAAATTAATGAGTCAATCAAATGATATCCTTAGTATTTCAGATTGTTATTCATTATCATTATTTATTATTGTAAATGCACTAACTTTGTCATAGTACAAGTATGTGTGATGATAAATAATGAAAGTACCCAATATCAGGCTCGTTCAACCCAATATATAACCACATTTATCCCAGGGCCGCTAAAAGGAGTAGCTTGCTGCCTTTATCTTCCCTCTCTGGGTGAAAAAGGATCTCTATCAAATGTCATACCGAGAGCAACATCCTCTGCAAAATTTGGTTTTGGTTTATTGTGTTAGTTTTGGTGCTGTTTCACGTGATGAGAATGTAATGGAACAGTGTGAGAATAAAAAGCTTGGTCATTTCTTCTGCTTTGTTTTGAATTATCACTCTCTAATCATAAGCCCTCCTTCTTCATCATCCTGAACCCCTATATACTGCACTGCACATAACGAGGCACGTCACAGCATGAGGGGATTCTAGACCTTCCCCTGCCGCACACGTCACAGACACCACACAGAGGCTTGGACAGCAGCAGCCCTCTCTCTGCACATCCATAACGCGCACTTCTCCGCTCCATCCCGGGTGCTGCGCAGACATGCCCAAATAACAACTTGGCAATCGGGCACAAGCGTCTGATTTTGCGCACACAAATGTCCACTGCGTTTGCGAAGGGAAAATGAAACGCAAGAGCGAGCGGAGACGAAGCGAGTGTCGGAAAAAGCGCTGTGCAGCTCACTCCAGCTCAGAGGCGGAGCCAAACCCTGATATTTACATTGCGATAACAGGTAAGTGGGTCTGCACAGTGCGCACTGTGAACCCACTCAACTCCAAGCCTCTGCGCACGCACTCTTCCACTGTCACATATAATGGCATCGACTACGACTTTATATTACATTTTGACCCAACATGGCGGCACCATCTGTCCCATTATCAGCAGCTTATGCAGGGTTGGGGTTTATCTCTGGTGCCTTTGCTTTGCGCGGCTTGGCCTGGATTTGTACAGTGCAGTCGAGGCGAATGCATTTTACCCTGACAATTTAAGCGACATTAGGAACGACGTAGGTCTAGTTATAAAAGCATGGACAACGCTTCATTCTCAAACTTAAAGGGCTACTCTACGCTGTGGTTGCATTTGCTGCGCGTTTGTATCTTTCACCAACAGCCTGGGAAAAGGAAAAAACAAGGGTCAACCAAGTGGAAATCAGGTTTGTGACTGGCTGAGGGCATGTCCTCGCAGCCGCCTGGGCAACTGTCCAGGAGCCTATCGCGTGTCTTCTACAGAGAACTTTAAACTAACGGGGGAGGGGCCAGACGTATGTGGCATTCTGTGTGTCCAATAGAGAGGCCCCGAACATCTCCGCTGACCAATAGGATCGCGGAGAGCTTCCGTGGGGTGCAGGGTGAGCTCATTTGCAGCACAGTGCGCACTTACGAATGTCCCTGGGCTGGTAACTTTCCTCAGATTGAAAACAAGCAAAAAGGAGGGCGGTGTTCTTTTAATCCAACATAACTTTTGATATACTTTGTTTTCCCCATTTCTAAACCGTTAACTAGTTTGAGGTATGCCAAAGTCCTTTTAGAGAATTTTAGCGTTTTGTGCGTTTTGGAAGAGCGTACTTATGTTCAGAACAGTGGGGAGGATGACTACGGACGACGTTTCTTCGAGATGCATTGAGATTATAAAGGGTATGGTGCATGGCTGTGTTATAGCTGCAGGTTTAAGGGCTTTTCACTTCTTCAGCTGTTACAGGGACACATGCAATGAAGTTAATGCATGTGTTTCATGTGCCCGCCCCTCCCCTTGTTTGTCCTCCAGATCAACTGTACTTCGCCATTCTCCAGCAGAGGATCAAGAGTACAGCGGACCGCCACTGTTTCTGCATAGACGATGAGCTGGCCTATGAAAAGTAAGTTAAGATTTTTTTTTTCATGCATCGCATTCTCTGCCCTCACAGGACCCCTGTTTGACATGCAGGGAAAACTACAATGTATCAGGGGCTTCTGTGCATGTGGCTCAGTGACAGCAGGAGCCATACGTTTCGTCTGCATGAATTGATTGAATTGATTTGTGTATAATAGAGCTGAGAAATAGTATTTTAAAGTAATCTATTCATGTCAGGAGCAGCTACAATTCAACATGAACTACATTTGTTACAGATGTATTTTGTTTTCTATTTTCTATTTACAACTTTTAATCAAGTCTCTTTGTATGGCACAGGTGCAAAAGAAAACTCAAAATCATACAAAACCTTAAAATCGTAATTGATCACAGCCAATAAATAGTGAAGTATGCCCAGGTAAACAGGAGTTTTTTAACCTGTTTCAGATTTTACTTGACTCTGGGCACCAGCAGGAGCCCAGTCCCTGTGCTCAAGTCTGAGTTTGTTCATAGGGCACTAAATGTATAAAGCACAATCTATGCAGCGTGGCCCAAAGTACTTTAAAAAGACATAAAAAATAAAAATGTAAAGGTGCATTTTGCAACTTGTTATGTGGAGAAGAAAAGTTTATTATATGTTTTCATATTTGACCTTCTGTGGGTAAGAGTGATCAGCATGGTGCCTTAACTTTTTATCAGGGTTGTGTGAACAGTGCTCCAGGATCAATTTCTAGGTTTTCTGGTGAGAGAAGAAAAACCTTCCAAACAACTACTCCTATAGCATCCTAGAGACTACTGTTATGGAAAGTCAGGTGGCGATGCTCAACACTCATACAGCCGCTGGGTCACTACGGTCAAATATGCAAAAAATATAACTTTTTTGTTGCCCATTTAAATTGCTTTTTAGCTCAAAAGTCTAAAAAGACACATTAAGCTTTATTTTGTTGTAACTACTTTATTATTCTATCTTTATTACAAGATCGCCCTCTGCTGCAGCTGAATTGACTGAATTGCAGAAATAACCACCATCCCTTTCTCTTCTCAGCTTCTATGCAGACTTCGGCCCGCTCAACCTGGCCATGTTTTATCGGTTTTGTTGCAAGCTGACAAAGAAGCTCAAGGTAAACGGTGTACTGCTGATTGTAGAGGGATGTTCCATGGTTTTATGTTTTTCTTGCATTTTTCTTCACTTAGGTAGATTGCTTAGAGAATACCTTTTTTAAGCCTTCATTATTCCTTCGAATGAGGTTGCTTTTGCAGTGATATGACCTTTAACCGTGCTTGGTAGCAGTCGTTTCTTGCCTGAACTTGTCCACTGTTGGCTAATAATAAACAACCTAATCTTAATGGGGACTAGTCAGATTCAGATTCATTTATTTGCCATTTGCAGTAAAACAGTATTGCAGATGACACTCTTACTGGTTTTAAAAAAAGTTCAGTGACCTCCAACACGTGCTGCATGGGGAATACGAGGACGTCGCTTTAGGGCTGTTAGACACAGGACAAACCACTTCAAGCTCTTCTTTGTCCCAACTTAAGTGGCCTATTTAAATAAACGTAATTAATAATGAATATATTCTAAAACTGAATGTCATGCCGATCTGTGTAACAATGTATCCCACAACAAATGTACCTCAGGGGCAATAAAGTTTATCTTATCTTATTATTTAAGTAAAGTAAAAGTACTCAGATGAATAATACTAATAAGAAGAGAGAAAATGTATTCAACCCACAGTGGGAACATTTCAAGCTTAAGTAGATAAAGTGACATTCAGTGGACATTCTGAAATGCAGTGTTGCACAGGATTACAGCATTTACTATTTACAGATGAATGGCATGTCCAGGCTCAGCAGTTCTCATTGTACAGTCTGACTGGTTGACTGATTAGCTTAGGTTTCCATTCCAACTAAACGTGTCTGTTATGTTCCTTATCTACAGTCAATTAGTCTTTCAAGAAAGAAAATCATATTTTATTCCTGCGGGGATCAGAAGAAACAAGCCAATGCTGCCTATCTCATTGGGTCTTATGCAGTAAGTATATTCATGTGTGATAACTTAATAAACAGTGTTGTTATATGTGTGTTAAAAAAATGTTTATATTTAGGTAATGCATCTGGACTTCACTCCTGACGAAGCCTATAATATCCTTGTGTCCCGAAACTCAACATTTATTCCATTTAGGTAAGACGGTAAACAGATACTTGACTTCAATTCCAGGTTCTTTCTATTACATTTATTTGTTTATAGTCCAACAGCATCCATCTTGGACGACTTTACAAAATGGATCTAACTGATTACTTTACTGCATGTGTTGATACATTGTTATAACAGTATTGTAGGTAGTTGTAGTTTTAATACTAGTAGACTATAAATGTGTTTGCTAATGATTTTACAGGCTGAAAACAGTATTATCTTGATTATAACTCATTTTGATAATTTGTTCAACTACAGCAGACAAAGTCAAACTCAGACCCGACAAAATCCACCCCGCAAGACTACTTTTAGTGGCCCCTGAAATGATTTTTTATTAATTGAATCTGTTCTAAAATGTTAACTGATTAGAAGTTAAAGCAGGCCTAAGATATGTTTTTTATAAGTAACTATCAGTCTTCTTGATATTTGGCCCAGTTGTGGTTGAATCCAAACCTACCGAAAAATATCCAAACTCATGTAAAATTAAATGTATTTGTCAAAAAAAAAAACACTTTTGGCCCAAATCAGCTCCTATGTTTTTAAATTTGGCCCCCGACTAAAACCAATTTCATGCCCCTGAACTACAGTATCATAACTCTTGTTCAATGTTTGTGTCCTCAGGGATGCCTCTTTTGGAACATGTCTGTTTAAGCTGAATATTTTAGACTGCCTTAGGGCCATTCATAAGGTAATGCACCTTCTCTTCAATCGTTTATTCATTGTTTTATTATTTCTCTGATGAAAGACTTTGCTTTGTCCAGGCCCTTGAGTTTGGGTGGCTGGACTTCTCCAACTTCGACGTGGAAGAGTATGAGCATTATGAGCGAGCCGAAAACGGAGACTTTAACTGGATCATTCCTGGAAAGTTTCTTGCTTTCAGTGGGCCTCATCCTAAAAGCAAAATAGAGAATGGTATATTGTTATTTTTAATCTTTTTTTTCAATAATCAGGTTAAAAGGATGTCACAGTAGAAAATGTTTGTATCTGGAGAAAGCAGTGTATAATCACCACTTCTCTGGCATATGAAGTGATCTAAACATTACTCCTTACTACACTAATATACAGGTACAACTGGATTTAACTCATATTTTTATGTTTGTGAGATAATTCAGCCCAACACTTTAGTGCCAAGAACTTGTTTAACATATTTATTAATTTGCACAAAGCAGTATTTTTCAAAATAAATCGTGTTTCAAATACGGATGATAAAAATACAAATCTGCGGACCTGGGATTGGGGACCATTGACCTAATTCATAAAATATATCCATCAAATTCCTGGAAATGTGAAAGATTAAAATAAATTGTTAAATCAATGTGGCCCTCTGATTTGGAGTCAAACCAAACATTCTGGGATGAATCACAAACACAAATAAAATGTGCAATAAGTTATTAGGGGTTTGACATGTATTCTGCCAGGTGGTTTTTTCCCCCCCCTAAGATTAGCTCCAGTTGTGAATAAGCAATTGTTTTAACCCCAAATGTCCCAATTAAAAAATGGATAAAAGATCCCATCTCCAATCACCAGCTTCACCAAAGTTTATATTTAGTTTCACCATGGGGAAAGTTAGGCAGACTTTGGAGTTTGATCTTCCTGTGCGCAGGGCTTGCTCCCACATATGACTAGATCAATCATCAGAGGCCAAAACTACAGAGCCTCAGCTTCACAAATAGTCCAGCCGTTTGCTTGTTCTCCAAAAGGTTCTCAGACAGATTTAGTTTATTTAGATTTAGATACATGTTTTAGATAGTTAGATTTGAATTATTGGATTGTAGTCAGGTTCAGTTTGAAGCTTCCTCTTCTAAATTCACAATCTCATACTGACATCTGTACAGGGTATCCTCTCCACGCTCCTGAAGCCTACATCCCGTATTTCCGCAAACACAACGTCACCACCGTCATCCGCCTGAACAAGAAGATGTACGATGCGCGGCGCTTCACGGACTCTGGCTTTGAGCATCACGACTTGTTCTTTGTGGACGGCAGCTCTCCGAACGACTCCATCGTTCGCAAGTTCCTCAACATCTGTGAGAACGCAGAAGGAGGCGTCGCAGTTCACTGTAAAGGTATTGGTTTGCACAAGCTTACGGATCTGCCTTTTTGGATATGGGCCAGGAAAGGTTGTTTTACTTTTGATAATGTGCAAATGTTGTAATCCTAGCGATAAGATAAGACCTGTATTCGTCCCTCGGTGGGGACAATGTCAGAAAGTACATTACAGCAGACTAAAGCCATTTATTATTTAAGATAATGAAATAAAATAATGAGATCATCCAATAAAACTATTTGTGAAAAAATAAATGTGTCAAAAAAATATAATACAAAATATATACAGAGCACAGAACTTAACCTACAGTTCAATAAGTCACTTTAAGTCACTAATGCACCTGGACTGAAAAATAACAGCACTGCTATTGCCACCCTTGTTTTTATTGCCACTATTTTCTTAATTATATCCTGCACTGACTATATTTTTTTACCTTTTAACATGTTTCCACACATCTGTCTTTTGCAGAATCTAGGACAAAATGAGTTTTGCCATTTAAAAACGCACAAATATGAGAGTTATTCTTTCCTTATTTCAGCTGGTCTGGGGAGAACAGGCACTCTCATCGCCTGTTACATGATGAAACATTACCATTTGAAGGCAGCTGAGGCCATTGCCTGGATTCGGATCTGTCGGCCTGGGTCTGTCATCGGGCCTCAGCAGAACTTTGTTGAAGAGTAAGTTCTTACCGCTATTCTTGCATAATGAAAACACTACAAAAAATAGAGGTATAGACTCAATGTTCTTTGGCAGCAAACAGAATAGTCTGTGGAAAGAGGGCGACATCTTCCGGGAGAAAATGCACATAGACAGAGAAAATGGTAAAATGGCCGTAACAAGGATTTTGTCTGGAGTGGATGACATCACCATCAATGGGACTAACAAGAACAGAACCAGCAAGAAAAATGACATGGAGCAAGTAAGTTACGCTTTGTCTGTTAAAAGCATTAATCTTATTCCAAGACCTTGAGTCTGATTGCATCTGTGTGTGTGTGTGTGTGTGTGTATGTGTGTGTGAAGTATATTGATGACGAGGAGAGAAATGGCTTCACACAAGGTGACAAACTGCGAGCTCTGAAAAGCAAGCGACAGGCCAGGTCTTCATCCGGATCATTATCGTAAGTACCACACGGTCTCCCACGTGGTTGATGCTACTGCGGTATAATAACCCCATTTGGAATCTGATCTTTTCACGTTATTACTTATTAAAAGGCAGAATATAGGTGACATATAGTATAGATATGTAGAATCATATCTTCAGAGTTTCAGGGATGGATAATGAAGCCTGCACTGTATTTGTGAATTCCTCCTAGTTTAGCTTATCATTATTGTTATCTAATTATTGCTGTAAAGGGAGTTGGGAATAATCATTCATGGTGCATTTTCTGTCGTCATGAACAACATTGTCAATAAAAAAAGTTCTAATTGATTGATCAGAAAAACATCTTTTTTAGTGCAGATCGGTGTTGTTTTAACGTTCACTGAAGTCCCGTACTGCACATTTTTGACATGGTATTTTTTTTAGAGGGACATAGAGGTCAAATTAGCATATTTTCTTTCCGATAAAAATGACACCATCAAATGTCGCATTACATCTGACTTTTTAAACGTTCATAAAATATTAGTTTAGTGTATAATTGTACTAATTATTAGGCCATTGAGATTCGTTAAAGCTGCAGAACCTGTGGTCTCAACTGGAAGACTCTTGTAAAAGTAAATATCCTACCTCGCCATGTTGCCTTTTCTTATGAGAAAACATGTTATCTTTAGCATATTTGTGCCACTATAACTTTGATTTATGTTATTTTGATTTCAGTAAAAGTTTAAGTTGAAGCAGCTGGAGGACATTCTAATACATAATATTTCCAGGCAAAGCATTTTAAGACATTTGTTAATTCATTTTCTAATTACTTGACTGCATTTACTAAAATAATGTTTGATTATCTTAAAAAATGGATTAGTTTTGATCAGCTGTGAATTGTATAATTGTTACAGCTCTAATAAGCAGTCGCTATTTGACGTTGAGAGCTGGATGAGGGAGGGTGGTCCTCTTTTTCACTTCTCAGTCTGAAACAGTTGCTCTAAAGATGTGACAGGCCAAAGATACATGCATGTGAAAACTAGTGATGGAACCAAACTGTTTTGAGAGCAAAGATTAGATACATGTAGATGGAAGTTAGATACCCCAACTTTAAATTCAGATTTTCCCCATACAGCCACAGACAAGGTGTTTGCGGTTCTAGATGGTTGCCTGGCCTCTGCCAATGTACCCATTTGGCTTTGGCTTTTGTTGTCCCACGTCAGGCGGGTGGTAGTGTTCTGCTGCAGCCTCATGGGTCTGGTGTGGCCCGTGTGCTGCCTGCCGTTGAAAAGATAGCACAGAGGGAGAGAGAGGGAGAGTGCATGTGAGGTTTTGTATAATGGAGGTAAGTGCATGCCACTCCCCTGCAGGCTGACATCCTCCAGCAGCGCGATGGCAACTTGTGGCTGTGGACTGCATTACATGTACGCCTGTCACTGTCGTAGACACAGGATGTTTGTTCATCAGGTTAAAGTCTCGGATAGCGAATTCACTTCTTTAGAACTTTGTTTTAATTGCTGAATGTTTTTTACTTTATCAATTTATTTGGTCGTTAGTCAACAAAGAAAACAATGACATAACCTTTTTGGCTTTAATAGTCTCAAATGGGATACTATCAGTCATTTATTACAAACGTAGTTTACATTTACAGTAGTTGTGGAAATGTCTACAATACAATACATTTAGGAGACTGCATTTTTTGTCATTTGTAAATAGTTTGGGGAGCTATTCTGGTCTGGAGATATACTGAGCGCTCATGATGTAGGACCTGGTGTTTTACATCTATGCTGGAATTTCTGAATGTTCTATTGTTTTTATCGAGATACTCCAATCCATTGACCAGTTTTTTAAAGTTCTATTATGTCAAACACTGCCATGTTAAGGGCCATTCGCCGCCGCTCTCATTATGAATGAAAGCCACGTCACTGCATACACCTGGGGTAGTAATTAACTTACTCTTGCATAGTATAATGGTGTATTGGTCTACTTGATGTTATTTCAATACACCAATACTTTCACTACACCATGTTCTATCATAACAAACTAGAATAGTCATTAGCTTTATGTTTGCAATACAATTTGTGATTCTGTGCTGAGCCTGGCCATGTGGCTTCACTGTTTACTGTCTTATGTAACCTAAAGTGCATGTTGCATTCCACTGGTGCCTGGAGAGAGAAGCCATTTATTATACTGTACGCCTCTTGCTCCGGCTCGGTGTCTCTGCATGGCTTTAGGCTCCAGACATGTGCATGTGTTGTTGGGTCTATGTTTTCTGTCTAACATGTATCTAAAGTAAGCCTGGGAAAATTGTCACTCTTGTTTGTTTTTTTGACTGGATTGGTGAAGAAGAAAAAAATTAAACCCATAGCAACATAGATAAATACCACCTTATTTATTGGCCTCTGATCCTTGTATTTCCATGTGATGTAGCAAGATATAACAAGATAATTTGCTGTTTGTGAAGGAAATAATGTAATCTATTTGCTGTCTTTATAATTTGCTTGTTGCAGCCAATAAAATGCGATTAATTGTGCAGCCTTAGACCCAAGATAATTATTGACTAATGGGTTCCAAAAGTATTCAAATGTATTAATTGCACAGCCTTAGTGGAAGTTATGTGAGGATACATCATTTTATCCAGTATCAAAAAGGCAGTACATAAGAGTGTCCCTCCTTGGCTTTTGTCTCAGTGTTTTCCTTTTTTATTTCCCTTTCTTTTTGCTCTTGGATTTGTCGTCCTTCCAGATGGCTGGTTGCCATGCTGCTCTCATCACTGTGTAGCCTTGCCCTGTGGTGGATTGTGTATGGCTTCCCTTCTTCCATCCTGCATTTCAGTATAGACGGGTTAGGATTTCTATGAGCTCTGCCACCACCAGACCCCCAAAAACCTGCCCTCTTCTGGAGGTCAAAATAAAAATACTGTAAGTGAGCCCAGCGTATCTTCTCAATCCCAAAGTCACAGACATTGGCTTGAAATCATCCTCCTTTTCTCCTATACCTTTGATTGTAGACGACAAATGAATACAAATCACCATTTTACAATTCTGTTTCATTGATAATCTATTTCATTCTGTTAATCCTAGGGTCCTTCTGTTTTTTGTGATTACATACACAGATTGAAGTATTTTGATAAATAAGTCCTGTTCCTTATAGAAGTAGAACTTGAACCTTTCTGGCTTTATTAATATCACCTGGCTGCATTCTTTGCTATATCTTCATCTCATCTGTTTGTCTATCTCGTGTTATTAAGTATTTAAATAATGGAACTATACTGTTTTATGTTCCTTGTGTTTCAGGTTAGAGGAGAATAAGATACATACACGGTCATCGTCTCACTCCCCGAGGTAGAATTCATAACACACAAAGATGTTTGTTGGTTTGTGTGAAGTGTCATTTTGGCCCCTGTGTCTTTCCAGCAGAGTGGTACTACAGGCCAGCACCCAGGCTCTGTCCGATCACTCAGACAGCAGGAAGAGGACCAGGACTTCATTGCCCTCCTCTGGCAGGTTAGTGGTAGTACTAAAAGGTAGACTGACCAGCCAGTCGCACAATTTGGCATTATTCATTTTCAAATATTCAGCCTGACCATGGACTATTTAACCATTGTGCTACCCTTACAGCTGAATTTTGATTTTTGCTCACTTGATCGTAGCACAAGGGATATAGAAGGACTTTGGCTCCAATTGACTTACATTGAAAAGTAGAGTCCATCAACTCTTGACCGGTTCTTGCCCAAAAAAAATCCACACATGATTTATTTTATATTTTCTTTGGTCAATAATTATGATATCTGGATTTGGAATCAGATGCCTTTCGCTTGGATAAACTTCTTACCTTAGAAACATGTTAGTGACCTCCCCCTGCTGCAGCGAGGTCACAAAGGGGTTTTAACTCCTTCCATCGAGGATGACGCATGATCAAATGTATAAAGAGTCTGGCTGACAACTCACAATCCATCATTTTGCTTACTCATGCTTCTAGGATGGTGATTTGAGCCCCAATTTTTAAGTGAAATGTAAAATATAAACGCAAGAATAGTTTTCTGCATATGCTTGAAAGATTTTACCCGCATCTTGCTTTTTTTTGGCATTTTGCAATCATTGTTTTTGACTTTCAGTGCTTTATGTTGCGCAAAATCAAAACAAGAGCAATATTACTTTTGTTCAATGTATTGTCCTTTATAATCCTAACCGATTTATACCTGTTCAAATATATCCCTAAAAGTGTTTATCACCAGTATAGAGTGGAAGTTTTTTTATAGAATGACATGTTGCCTGTTTGCAGTTTTGATTGTTGAAATTGGACATTATTGATAATTGAAATTGATATTAATTTAACCTTTATAGCACAATTCATGAAGAAGAAAAAAAGAGTATTCAAAGTTGTTTCAGAACCACATACTGCTGCAACTAAAAAAAAGCACAAGTCAGTTTTAGGCACAGCTGAACGCATTACTTTTTTGTATTTTTACAGCAAGTGAGTATATGTACCGTAACTGAAATAGTACAATTCTGCACCAAAATGTGTCACAAGTTTTAATATTTATTAATGTATAAGTAAGGTTAATTTCCTAAAGCTGGCAAAATAAAACCATAAAGACTGAAATGTAATACAATGACATCTTTACTCTCTGCAGCTCGAGGCTGGTCAGGTCCTTAGGAAACTTGAATGTAGTGACTGGAGACCCCATGTGCTATGAGCCATGTTCCAGCCATAATGCCAATGCAGGCGCTCCACTCAACTTAAACATGGCACAGATCCACCTGCAGGCAAGCACCCAACACCTCGTCCAAAACACTTTGCAACATGGCTGTTTTCTCACAGGCTAAACTGCAATTAATACTTCGAAGCATTTTCTTGCGCAATGCTTTGGAAAAACCAAAATCAATTTTTGCATTGACTGAGAACTAATATTTTGTGAAACTGAAGTACAGAAGGTCTTCCACTGGTATACTTCAGTCACACTTGCATGTTGCTTTACTTTTGCTGAAATGACTGGCTGGCTATAGCTTCTTTGAGTTGCTTAATATTTTCTTTTCCGTTCGGTCTTTGCAAGTCTGTCGCATGTTTGATTCTGCTCAATTGTTTCCTTCTTATAACTAGACACACTGTCTGCAAAGGACGTAAGGCCCGCTCCTCTCCACAATCAATACGATTTTCTAGGCTTTGGTAACTACTCTTTGCTGCTTTGCAAATGCCAATATGATATGCACCGTTGTAACTTCAATGTTTTTTTTTCCCCAGTCACTCCATACCCAAGGCTAGAGCACCCCTTCTACGATGAGTCTGCAATCTTCAGTATATCAATTTACATTTACTCATTTCAGTGCATTGATAAATATTTAAACAGGATATAATTCAAGGCATGTACTAGTAGCAGCTACAATATTAACATTGTAGGACTGCCTTCTGATCGAGTATCAACATGAGATGGACAAGCTATAAATTATATAAAAAGGAAAGCCACTAGATACATTTTAGAAAATGTATATTTTTTACTTTTGAGTGCCTATAATCAAATTGTTTATACAATGTTAAACATTTTATAATTTAAACTTGTATGTTAGTACTTTGTAAATATTTTGTATCATGTTCTTAATTAGTAAAAGGTCCTCAAGGGGCTGCATGTAACCATGATCATAATGTACTTGCAAAGCACATCTTTGTAATAAAAATACTTTGCGTATATTCCTTATACTTGGGAATTTGCCTTTTTGACTTGATAAGTGACAGGGTATGTTGACAGTGTTAATGAGAACATCATGCTATAAACTTGCAAATATTTTTATTTTTCAGAAGTCTGATGTGTAACAACAGAACTTAAGTATAAAACCCCAAACCGTAATAACTGCACATATGAAGACAGTGTTTTTTATCAAGGTTTTTTTTTTAAAGGCAAACCATTGCTTGTAATGCCGTAATGGACCAGATTACAGTCCTGCTGATAGAGCTGGGAAGTCATCAGGGTCATAGGGGTTTGGTGCCAAATGGTCCCCCTAAAAATATGTTTCCATTATGTTATGGTATAGAAAAAGGTACACATGTTTCCTTACCATTTCAAGTATGGGCTTCATTTGCTCTGCATGAACAGTTAATCCTCCTCTCATGGCTCCTCTTCCTCCACCCCGGCCTCGACCACCACGAATAGGCCTCCCAAGACTCCCAAAATTGATATCCAGGAGGGAGGTGATGTCATTCACAGAGCGGCGGAGGACAGTGCCATCTTCCTCCAGAGTATCCAAAGACTTCTTCAGACTCTAAATAATTCCAAATAATGACATCATGTGCATACAGGTAGAGAACTACAATCAGTCTTACCTCCAGGTGGTTGGACTCATGTATGACTTTAGCTTTAGATGGAATTTTGTCCTCTGCTTTGCGGATGTTGAAATCAGCTTTGGGTCGGTTACTCTCCTGCAAGGTTTTCCATTCATCGAGAGACATCTCCACTGCAACACTGACAACCAACTCTTCATCCGCTTGCTGCGCCCTGCCAGAATACCAGTGATTATAATGAACATGTTGCATCGCTGTGACACAACTTACTGATTTTCCTCATCAGCAGACATTTGGGACTCCTCAGATTTCACCGGAGTAGCTTCGGTCACCTCCATCCCCTCACTTAAAAACAATTGCAGCAAAATGAAAGACTTTATGGAAATCTGTTTTGTTTTATTACCAACCATGTAGCTTCATCAACAGAACCCCAGTTCCAAGGGCCTCTGCCTCCTCGTTTCTCCTCAGGTGAGATGCCACTGTAACAAGATTTTAGTTTGAAACATGCCCAAAAAAAGAAAGTCTCATGATGCTTACGTTCCATTGTGGCGGTCAAATTCTCTCTTGCCCCTCAGGTTAAAGGTCTCAGAACTCCTCATGAAAGCACCACGACCACCACCTCTCCTCCCTCCTCTTCCCCGCACATCAGCATCTCCATAGTTTGGCCTGAATAAATGTTTTTTTTAAAGGTGTGTTCTATTCAAAGTGACAGTTTCTAAGTTCTACCTTGGAACAGAGAACTCCTGCGGGGGCTGGTCTGAGTAGGTCCTCCTGTCCTCATAAACAGCTCTTTTCATGACCCTTTGGCCCTCCTCGGCTCGCTCAGGCACTGGTGCAGCGCGGCACTGCAACTTCCGAGCTACTAACAAAACGCATAAAATTAACTTTATAAAGTAAAACACAAGTGCCACAACAGCTTTTAAGACAAAATACCTTGAGGCGGCTCCGGAGCACCTACGCTGACAGGAAGTCTTCTGTCCCTCTGAGACTCTTTCTGACCAGATTTTTTCTGTTTGTTCTTAACGTCCTCTTGCTTCTTTTTCTTCTTTTTATCCTTCTCACTTCCAGCCTCCTTTAAGATGTCAAACGGGTCAGCATCATCGTCCAGAAGGTCTCCAAACCTGTTGGCCACAGCGCAGCCGTACTCGTCAGGCAGCATGCTGCAGGAGAAAGCCGATGTTAGCTTAGCACGTTAGAGACAGCTGAAGCTAAATGAACTGTACAGAAAACCGTAAAGCTATCTAACAGAAGTCGTGCACCATTGTACACAAGACAGTTTCCACGACACACTGGCCTCTGAGGTGAATGGGCCCTGGTGCCTGCACTTAACCCAAGTGTTTGCAGGTGTGTGGACAGGGGGCGTGGCGGCGGCAGACGCACCGCTGCACAACGCTCTGGCATTGGACAGAGGGAACGTGACGCCGACGGGGTGAAAACGTTTTTGATTGACAATTAGGAGGACCAATAGTCTTGATGATCCGCCAGGAAGTAGAAAATCCTCCTTTATACCTTTAATTATTACATTTCACACAGTATATTTCTTACCAGTGACTAAGATATTATCACCCTTCAGAAGTTCTTCAATTAGATCAAAAACGGTGTTTTAGTAGGCCTACATGAGGTAGTCTTCATAATGTTGGGTTACGTTAACATGCAGTAAGAAAAAAAAATACATCTATAACTATGATATGTGTCCACTAGATCCATGGTGTCCACAGATAAGGTCTGGTCCAGTGGGGGCGGGTCCCGGCTCAAAAGTGGCCAAAATGACGTGCGCTGACATGCTTGCAATACCAGCCCGGGCTGATGGGGGTGGACCCGGAATAAGAATTAGCCAATGCTAATATATAGCATTGGCAGACCTCTCGAAAACGTCTTTACAGGATGGTCCAAAAGTTGGCTCTTGGCCCAAAGCTCCTTTCCACATGTGTGTCAATGCTGAGGGGGGTGAATTTTTTTGGACCACTCTAGTTTACTCGCTGTGAATTTTTGAAGTCTCTCGTTCAAATGAATGGAGCTCTCACCGGCTGACGCATGCGCAGAAGCTCCAGTAGAGCACATTTTTTGGCCCATTTGTTTGAACGGCGGAGATAGGCGTGACTCTGTCCGTTAATAGTCTATGGTCTGGTCTCAATGAAAACATTGCATGATGGCATTACCTGTATATACAGTATATTTGACCCGAACGTTTTAGATGTTCTCTCATGTGTATTTTGATATGTTTCAGTCCGGCTTTAGACCCCACCACAGCACTGAGACTGCTCTCGTCAAGGTTACAAATGATATCCGGCTGAACACTGACGCAGGCAAAGTCTCAATCTTAATCTTGTTAGATCTAAGTGCTGCCTTTGACATCGTCGACCATGAGATCCTCTTACAGAGACTAGAGGACTGGGTTGGCGTCGCTGGCACCGCCCTAAGTTGGTTTGGGTCTTACCTTGAAGACAGGAAGTACTTTGTGGAGATTGGAAACTGTGTCTCAGATCATATGGCCCTGACCTGTGGAGTCCCACAGGGGTCGATCCTGGGACCTCTTCTGTTCAATCTCTACATGCTGCCGTTAGTTCAGTTAATACGCAGAAACGAAGTTTCCTATCATAACTATGCAGACGACACTCAGATCTATGTCTCACTGACTGCAGGAGAACATGGACCAGTGGACTCACTCCTTCACTGTATCCAACAGATCAGTGAGTGGATGCAAAACAACTTCCTTCAGCTAAACGCAGACAAAACTGAAATGATTGTCTTTGGTCCCCAGAAACAAAGAGAGAGCGTCATCTGTCACCTACAGTCTCTCTCCCTAAAACCTTCAAACAAGGTCAGAAATCTAGGGGTAATACTGGACTCAGACTTAAATTTTAATAGCCACATCAAATCAGTAACATCAGCAGCTTTTTACCATCTAAAAAACATTGCCAGGATCAAAAACATAGTGTCTAAAGCAGACTTGGAGATTCTTATCCATACATTTGTCTCCAGTAGGTTAGACTACTGCAATGGCCTGCTCACAGGTCTGTCCAAACAGGCTGTAAAACAGCTGCAGTACATTCAAAATGCAGCAGCTCGAGTCCTGACTGGAACCAGGAAGTACGACCACATTAGTCCAGTCCTCAGGTCCCTGCACTGGCTTCCTGTGGCTCAGAGAATAGACTTTAAAACAGCTCTGCTTGTGTACAAGTCTCTCCATGGCTTAGCACCAAAATATATTAGTGACATGTTAGTACCATATGAACCAGCCCGGACTCTGAGGAGCACAGGGACTGGACTCCTGTTAGTGCCCAGAGTCAGAACTAAACATGGGGAGGCTGCTTTTCAGATTCATGCTGCTAAAATCTGGAACAATCTTCCTGAAGATGTGAGACAGGCCTCCTCTCTGACAATGTTTAAAACCAAGTTAAAAACGGTTCTGTTTAGCTGTGCATACAACTGAGGGATTTTATATTTTTATCTTTCGTTTTAATGTTCTGTGATTATTTATGATTTTAATGCTATCTTGTTCAGCACTTTGAGTTGCCTTGTGTATGAATTGTGCTATACAAATAAACTTACCTTGCCTTGCCTATTAATGTGCCTCATGTGGGGGAAACATTGATCTGTGTGTTTAAGTGGTGCAAGCTAACATCTGGGTCCAATATTTTTAATTAATTTTATCTTTCTCCTTTCTACATGATGCTTCCTAATTTTGAATTATGTGGAAGAAAATATAGTGTTTAGTTTGTACATTCCTGGATATTTCAGACTTCAGACTGTCAAATGCAAGTAGAGGTTAAAAAAAAAACGGTCATCACGGTGTCCCACTGCAGGGTTCAACTTTTCATGTCGTCCTCGAAATAGGCAATGATTAATATGATTTATTATAGTAATCATTTGATGCATACTTCATATTTGAAAGTGTTCTTAGTGTAATTTATTGGGTCCTTTGTCACTTACAAAAAATGCTTGTAAAAAAATAGAATGTAAAAAATATTCTGGAAACAGTCTTGTGTGTGACTCCCACCTTAGGAAACACTGTTCTGTAATAACTTTTGACCCCAGTTAAATGTGGTCTTTCTTTCAGTAATGCAATTGAGCTGCATCGAGTTTCATCTAACCGTCCTCTCCATCTATTTTATTTTTATCTACATAAAACATATCCTATTCAGAGGTTAACACGTTTTTTTTTTGAAGAATTTCCATGAAAACGGTTTGATTTGGGTGATCTTTTAAGATCATTTTCGGGATCTTTCCAAAGCGTCTCACAAGTTGGCTGGAATTCTGGCCTATTACTCAGAACTATTTAAGATAGACTTTATTGATCTCACACAAGAGAAATTTACATGTCACATTTGGAATCACTCCGATTTGTGCTAAAGACAGAGGTATGCAACATGTTAAAGGCCAAAAATAGTCTTTTCAGCATATATACCATCCATCCATCCATTTTCTACCCTTTAATCCATTTCTGGGTCAGGGGGGTGGCAGTCAGAGATGCCACCCAAGTCTCATAGCACCAGCCCCTCACTGACCCTCTGCAGGTGGTGAGTCCACAGGAGGACGGCTGCTCTCTGAGTGTGAGCATAGCCTTGAGGATATATACTATTTATGATAAAAGAAAGTGGCAATTAAAGAAACAGTGGCAATAGTAGTGCAGGTTTTTAGTCCTAGTGCAAGTGACTTAAAGTGACCCATTGTACAGTCTGACAGCTCGTTGATCCTTTTTAAGATGGTGATTATTATTTGGCTACAGGTCAATTCTGTAGCCTCATTGGCAGCCCTTGACAGTACCTCTTTTGTTCGACATGTATCCACCCATGATTATGTAACTTTGCCGCCTCGGAAGTTGGACCCTGCCTTCCCTTTAAAGTTATCAAAAAAGTAATAACATAAACAGACTACAGCGCGGGGAAAAGACCATCTGCTCGTCTGCTGCGTCGATTAACCGCTCTACTCTGTGATTGGCTCTCTCTGCTTTAAAGACCCACTCTGACAACGTCATGGGCCAATCACGCACTGTTTTTGCAAACGAGCGCGCCGGGGGTTTCAATTCCATTGGTCTAATGATCAGCCAATAGTGCTGACGCAGAGCCCCGGGCTTCTGAGCATGTGTGCAGGGTTAATGTACAGCGGACACCATTGGATCATGCGGACATGTGGCTCTATAAGCTCTGCATGGATTGGTCCTCAGGCTCCTCAGGCGCGATTTTGCAACGCGGGATGGCTGTGGTGTGAGCGCTCAGCGCAGAGCAGGAGGGTCACGGGAGAAGGAGCATTCGCCTGCAACTAAATCTCAACTTGTGGACAATTTTTTACAGAAGAATCTCTTTTGCGCTAAAAGAAAAATGCATTAATTCCACAGCCCTGAAGAAAAGAAAGACCATTCTTTTTTGATTTATTTATTATTTACCTATTTTGATCTGTGCAGGTCGTGAAACTTTACACTTTTTTATTTTGTGACTCTAGGAGTTTTTTTTGTCTTTTATACCATGACGGAAAACAAGCACCCACAGGTTATTTACTGCAACGACTCGCCGAAAAGAGTTTTGGTTTCAGTTATAAAGACCACCCCGATCAAGCCGCGAAAGGAGCACGCGATGACCCCCACCAGCCCTGGATTCAGTGACTTTATGGTCTATCCGTGGAAGTGGGGAGAGAACGCTCATAACGTGACTCTGAGTCCGGGGTCTGCGAGTGGCGCCTCGTCCCCCACGGGCACACAGACGGTCACGGAGGCGGACCAGGCATCCTCCCCGGACCAGTATAAGGTACATCACACATGGCACTCATCGATGCAACTGTTGCCAATGTTGCAATAAACTACATCAAAGCAATCACAACGTCTTAACGAACAATGTAAAGCAGCTTAGGGACTGGATAGAGAAGATTACGCGTACTACATAACAATTACGCACCAGTAAAAGCTATGTGATGACTTTGTCTTAAGTTCATTCATAAAACTTATTTATCTTCTTCTTTCTGATATTTGGTCACATTTCTGACACGCAACACATCACGCTGAATAATAAGAGGAGATAATCATTGAAAGTATAATAACGTGTCCTTTAAAAATCGCCCGCGCATATGGGTGTGACATGAGGGATTTAAACCCCAGATACTTCCTGATCTGCAGCAGCTGCTTTCCTCTGACGCCTATTCGCGCGCCAAATGAAACCGGATGGACGTGTTACAACGTTGCCCTTTCGAATGAATGGATTACTAGTATGTAGCAATGAAATCTCAGGTTCAACAAAGTATCTTAAATTGACAAATAAACACACACATTTCTCATCTTGTCTGATTTCAATAGACTATCATGCAGTCATAATACTGTAACCTGTATCTCCTATCACAAGAATACTATTTCAGCTAAAATAATCACAGAATTGGTCAATTTGTCTTTAAATATTTCATTAACAAATGTGCATATTTTCAGTTTTATGTGAATGAATGAAGTTTATTTTGGTTACATTGATATTCACATACATCAGCATTGTCCAAAAGTTTTAGTAAGACGGCCACTTTTCTTCACCAGACTCGTCCATGGATCAGACATCCTGGATCATAAAACTGTTTCTACTGGTTTCGGGCTGTTCGGGAATTTGTAATGGGATAAAATATGTCTGCAATGATTCACACCACAGCTACATTAGTACCATATATGGAAGTTTGTGACTGAATCAAAAACAAATGTCAGTATATAAACAGAGTTAAAAACTGGATTCCAAAGGTGCCAAGCATGAGCATATCGGTGGAGCAGAAGTTGGCCGGATAACACTGCCAAATTTTAATGGCTTCTTTGTGTTTGCAAGGCAGAGGGCCACATTATATGACACAGCGAGCAGCATTTGTTTGGACATACATCATTCCAGAACAAAAACTTTACAACAGAAAGACTGTAAATGGATAGGCCGAAGCTCATTCTCAGTTTTATATTCTAGTATAAGGACATTTATCTAGTGAGTAAAAACATGTGTGTATAAACATTTTAAATTTCAAAGAGATAATTTAAGTTATTGTGTGCATCCATTCCAGAGATCAATATGTTTAACCTTTTCTTCTTCTATCAGGATGGCATTAGGAGAGGGCGGCCACGAGCAGACACTGTTAGAGAGCTGATAAGCGAAGGCGAGACTTCGTCAAGCCGTATCCGCTGTACCATTTGCAACCGAGTGTTTCCCCGCGAGAAGTCTCTACAAGCTCACAAGAGGACACATACAGGTAAACATAACATTCCCAGACTTATAGAAAGCATGCTTCATTGTTGTGCCGTATTAATAACGATTTTCCTCCCTCTCTCAGGAGAACGACCCTACTTGTGTGATTATCCAAACTGCGGAAAGGCCTTTGTCCAGAGTGGCCAGCTGAAGACGCACCAGCGACTGCACACCGGAGAAAAACCTTTTGTTTGTTCAGAAAAGGGTGCGTTTTTGTTTTTTAAAAGTTCCTCCGTGTTATCTGATGATGGCGCAATTGCTTAATTGGCACATTTGTCATTACAGGATGCGGAAATCGGTTCACACACGCCAATCGCCATTGTCCTAAGCACCCTTTCTCTCGCCTGAAGAGGGAAGAACCAAAAGAAGGTCACGGGAACGCTAACATGGTAGACAACAAGGCAGTGGCCGAGTGGCTGGCAAAGTAAGTTCATGGTTATTATTATTATTGAAGTAGTTGACTATATCTATTCGATACAAACATCCAGGCATACAATTCTAAAACTATTTAAGAAATTCACGATTTGGCCCAGTATATTAATATAACAATTTTTTCACGCTGTCACTAACAATTATTTATTTTATTTAGAATGTACAATGTACCACCGGATCTAAGCCAGGTTTTAGCAGGACTTCCCTTTGTTCTAGATTAAAGTTAAAAATGTTGCTTAAAGAATCTAGTTTGTTTGTCCCAAAAGAAAGTCTTGTTTAACTAAAAAATTGTGATCAAAGCAAGACAACATCTTCAAAAATATATTATTTTTTACATGCTGGATGCTAATTGGCAAAGTAAGGGCTGGTTCCCCCTTTTCCACTGAAAAGGCAGATCTTAAGATGTGACAGATGCCAAGAATTGTGGACGTGAAAACTAGTGATTAAACTAGTGGTACAAGGATTTTAAAACATGGTTCATACATAGTATACATAATATCAACATTAGACGCCCTAGCTTTAACTAACTGTTTTTCTAGGTACTGGAAAACCCGAGAAGAACGCGCCCCCACTACCCTCAAAATGAAATCGCAGGGTAAGGGCCGAGCCGAGGACCAGGAGCAGCAGGACCCCATGGAGTTCCTTCAGTCGGACGAGGAGAACGAAGACGAGGAGGAGATGATGGTGGAGGAGGAGAAGAGCGCTCAGCCGGGGGGAGCAGCCAAGCGCCGCCTCCAGGAGCAGAGGGAACGTCTTCACGGAGCTCTGGCACTTATCGAGCTGGCAAACAACTTGTCTGCTTAAGCATCCACCTGAAAATCACACCTCCCAATCCGCCTGCCTGTTCACAATGCTGTAGAAACATCTGAACGAGACTAAAGTAAAGCCCCATTCACAAAATCGGCAAAGAATTTCCTCAGCATTTTCCCCCAGACAGTTTTGGGAATTCAGCCGCAAATGATTCCCTGCCTTTTATGTTAGTTGTGACCATTTTCTAGGATCTGCCAAAAAAAAATCTTCATCAGCTAAATGAAAGGAATGCCCTATCATTCAATTAGTTGAATAAAAGGTGGGCGTGGCAAATGGTCTAAAAAGGATTACATACCCGATCCAAACTTTAAGCGCTAATAAAAAAAAAAAGAGAGCTATTAAGAATAAATATCACTAAACTATTTAGCGTTTTTTTTAAAGAAATTGATGAAATGAGGTTAATCTGGCTTGAATATGAAAGTAAACACCTAAATAATCATGCGATTGGTTCCATATTTTTACTCAGTTTAACATTATCAACTAAACAATATGGTCGATTTAAGGAATCATCTTACGATTAATGGACTAAACAACAAAAAATGGACAGCCATATAATCCCCCTTGACAATTCCATTCCATTGTAAACATTGAATTGTACACAAGTTTATCTAATCTAATTTATCTATCTAAGAAACTACAATGTTGTGAATAATACTGTCCGGAGAATGTTTGAGGACTAATGCCTACGTGAAAATGGGTATTTTTGTTCCCAGCAATTACATGGAATCTTTGTGAATGGGGTTTATTTTATACATATATTTTATAGCTGGAAACATCATGTTTAACACCAGTCTTTGTCGGGAAGTGAACTGTCAATACTTAGTCCGAACACAGCAACAGGCAGGCATAAGCTATGGCACCTTATTCAATAATAGCTTCCATTTTATCTTTTCTAGGCTGCTATATTTTGTAGATTTGACCATATGAAGAATGTTGGTCTCCCTTTTGTCTTCTAAAGGCAACGAGGGGGACTATGTTTTATGGTTTTAATTTGTTTGCACTTTGATGATAACGAGTTTTGTTGTGAATGTTAGTGTGTGTGGAAGTTTTAAGTATATAAGAATATATATGATGGATTATGCTCAGAGGGACAGACTGATACAGGGTTTGCTCATGAATGAAAGACATGCATTTTGTCAGAGTACTTGGTCAGCTTTGGCAATGATTTCCTCTAATGACTGGGGGTTTGTCGTTGTAATTTAGCTTCTTTTTTTTCACTGCTGCATGTTTTAATGTGTTAGTGTTGATCATGATGTACAAGTGTCAAGTCGAAATCAGGCATGTGCTACTAAAATCTGGAGCATAATTTCCAAGTACCTTTTATCAATATTCAAAGTGCTTCTAAATTCATATCACTGTTGGACATAACATACACTAAATATAACATTCTTAAATATCAAGGCACATGTCGATGTTTTTTGTTATTTTTCTCAAAACTGCTGCAGTATGACAAATCTACATGAAGCCAAGCACCGTTACTTGTCGGATCAGTGGAGAAGAAACCCCGTTTGGAATTCATTTTCCATGTAGGGCTGCATGATTTATCACATTCAAATCAAAATTTTGAAGTGAGTATCTATAGTCTGAGAGAATGCTGTGAAGAAGATTAAAACTACTCAAGCCATTAAACATTTTGAAATGTGGGAATTGTGTATGCGGTAATCGGTTCATATTTATACTTTTTCAAATATAACTCCCTTTTCTGGAAAAAACTATTAAACATTCAGGATTGTGATTGTGCAGCCCCATTTCCACATTCTCCCCCAAATACAATATGCAGTTCTTTTCATACCTAAGCGCAATAGGTTTTGATATTTGTGAAGTTTTCCTTTGATCTTTAGTATTGTTACAGGTGAAATTGAAAGAAGCACTTAGTTGTAACCATCCTAAGTTCTGGACGAAGCGAGCGATGCACTTATGATTTTATGGGTTGTTGCGTCTTGGTGTGGCTTCAACTGGGTCTGTTTGTTGGATTAATTTGTTATTTTTAACACTAAATCCTAAAACGCTCACAATATCCTGCCTTTGTTCCTTAATTATGATTTCTATTCTGTGTAGACGCTCTTAGCTTCATGTCCATGTAAAACTGGAAACTGTAGATAATCAAAACCACCAAATGATTTATTTTAACCTTTAATAGGCTGCATCCAAATTTCCCCAAAAAGTGACTCTTTCCTTGCCCTTAATTTTGTTGTAGAATTTGACTTTTATTAGATGGGATTACTCCAAGTTTGGTAAAGTTTAACACACAGGTTTCCGATAGAACTTGGGTCAAATTTGATGTCATAAAGGTTCATAAAATGAGCAGGAGGAAGGAGCAGGTTTTCCTGATTTTTGGATGCAGCCATATTCTAACCATTAGTTTTGGTTGTTGTTTTGCTTGATAAAAAGGATAATTAATATATACATGTTTGTTAGAAAATGCAGTGTGCACAATTTACCCAAAGCTTTGATTTATGTTTTTCTTTTTCTCAATAACCTGCATTTCTGTTAAATCAGTAGTCATCATGTTTGCTATTTACAAATCCAAAAGTCTGTCCACACTGTTAACTGTTGATCTACAATAAACATTCACTGAATCTAATGGAATGTAACCATGTTTCTTTTAATTAAACATTACAGTTTTTAACTTTAATTTAAAAGATAAGCACTGCATATAAATATAGCTCCAATATGGAGCATATAGCACCACCTAGTGGCAGAAATCCCTCCTAATCTTTAGCAGAATTAACTGGAGGTTGTTCCAGCGCATCGATCTTCACCTCTTCTACTGTCCTCTCTGATGTGGTGTTGAAGCTGAGATACGAGTACAGTAGTCCACCTGACATGCTGAAAGCAAAGAGTTTTGGGTTAAGTATTTTTCCGTTTCATCGTGTAAAAAGACACTTTGACTTATTTACCAAATGGAAAGTCCAAAAAAGTTTGTCCAAGAAAACACGTAGTCTCCTCCCACAAAGATACCGATGTAGGCCACAGCTACATTCTGAAAAATATATTGTATTACTGCATGAGACAATAAGCACATCGTAATATATTGTAAACTGCATGGTATTTGTTCCTTCAGCTCAAAGAAAGTACAACATACAGTATGTGTCTGAACCATAGACTGTATATATTAAAACTAAACTAAACATGAGCACTTTAATGCATTGGTTTTATGAAGCGCTTTTTTGGACACTCAAAGATGCTTCACATGTCATTATTCTTTCACTCCAAACACGGTGGTGATAAACTACTACTGTAGCCACAGCTGCCCTGGGGCACACTGACAGAAGCGAGGCAACCAGTACTGTATGTGGCCTCCGACCACCCCCAAACATTCACACACACACCAGTGTGTGTCCTTAGGCCCTTAGGCCACTGTCACGCCCCTTTATTACTATTGTGTGAATTTTACAATTTGAATTATTTTTTTTGTCGCTGCCCACCTGAATCTTCTCACAGCAAGTATCCATCTGTACTTTCCAAATGTACTTTCTAAATGAACCATAACGTACAAAATACTATGTCCTGATAATACATTAAATCACCTTTATTGCTCCAACTACTGTCGTCGTTAGTGCGGAGTTGTAATGGCTGCAGAGGACTATGGAATACATCAGTACAAACCTTTGACAAGACAAAAACAAAAAACAATAAGAGGACAACTGAACAATTATATTTAACTGAACCACAGACTTACCCCATCATGCACGACATGATGAAACAGAAGAAAAACTTTGCTTGTGTCCAGTCTTGGAACGTCAGTGCCTACAATGGAGAGACAATAGAGTGGTCAAGACAGAAACAGTAGATCAAATAGAAATAGATTTTATATGTGAGGTTAATCCATACCCTATCCAAGTCTCCTGTGTATGCACAAATGATGATGGTGGGGATGACAATGATGAGGGCATTATAAAACAGGACACCGTATTTTCCAAGTCCCTAAAGTAAATATAAAGCATTGTCAGAGGCGTTATGGAGCCACATGAACGATAGTATTAAGGTTAAAGTTGGGTTTTTTGTTATTTTTGAAATCCAGGTCAAAAAAAATTCTGTTTAGCTGAACCGCATACAACAGAAGGATTTTTATCTTTAATCTTTTTGATGTACTGTGATTATTTATGATTTTAATGCCTTGTGAGATTGTTTATATTTTGTGTATGAACTTTGCTATACCAATAAACTTGCCTACATATTGATCAGCCTTTGATTTCTTCACATACTATTTACAGCAACAGTATTATCGTAACACTATTTTTTCTCTAACTACAAGTGAATCTATTGCAGGTGTTGTCAGTGTTTTCCTCTGCATGTAGTCCACAGACTCTGATTACTGTGATATGCTTCTGCAGCTCAGGTTTACACAAAACCAGATGGATTGCAACATAGAAAATGGCAACCCAAATCCCAGGTTGTACTTTGTGATTGGAGAATCTTGTTTGGAGATTAAAACATAAAAAAGTGTGGACATCATAGCCATTGTATATATATTATTTTTAAATTAACAATAAATAATCTGAACTTTAATCTACAGTACATTGTGTGTTAGAAGGTAAGTAAGTAAGTCATATTTTTTATATTCTGCATAGTCTCAAAGCACTTTGCAATTGTTGTGGGCATTTGTCCGCTCACTCCTCTCAGGTCCATGCCAGACCTATTATGCTGGTTTTAGTGGTAGGGGAATTTGGAGCAACCGAAGGAAACCAACAAAGACACTTGGTGAAGAAAATGCAAACTTCACACAAAAAGGCTGGTCGGGGGGAAATATGAACCCAGGACCTTCTTGCACAATCATTAACTGCTGCGCCACTGTGCCACAGATGTATAGATCAAATCACAACTTCTTGTGTTTATTCATTTTGAAAATTCCCCAATATCAGAATTAACTTTGTTTTGATCATAAAAAGGTTGTACATTATTTGCACATGTCAACTCTGTGTTTGGGGACAAAGATGAATATGTAGTATTTTTTCCAGTACCTTAAGGTTGATAAGGCCTTAACTGATAAGGTTAAGGCCCTTATCAGTCAGAAACTAATAAAACATTCAAGTTAATATCTTACTTTCGACATTGCAAAGAGAGAGTAAACATCACTGGCTAGCACAGTCCATACTCACCTGTGCAGCATCCTGATTGAAACAAACCTCATTCAGATTCTTGAGGCTCAAGCAAATCTTACTGGTCGAGGTTATGTCAAGGGAAGGGACTGATTTGAATTTATTATTGATGAAAAATACAGAATGTACATAATAGTACAGGGTCCTATGGTTTAACAAAAATTACTATTTTTATAAAATGAAATATAATTTCAGCTGCTGACATCCCCTTTAAATTGTTAAAAGAACAGCTAAACTTATTTTCATATAGGATGCATTAGTTTCCATTTAAAACTTTAAGTGCATAGGATTGTATGTGATAAGAGTACTATTTAAGCCCTATTCACACGGGACTAGTATTACCTGTGGACCTCTGGTAATTTGTGAAAATCTCAGAGGACGTCTGAGATATTATTCCCGTAAGAATGCACCATGTCTGTAATTTGTAAAGTAATATTTCTGCAGCAAATGACCTCCTGTATTTGTCCAAACACAGACGTCCTGTGATAAAACTAATCCTGTGCGGATATGCATGACAGTGATTGTGATCCCTACTGCTGCCTCCTCTACTTTCTGCGTTGTTTTTGTCGATATCTTGCGCCTTTTCATATTTCTTCCCGACTCAAACCATGGAGGCTGTGGTAGAAATGCTTTTCAGCAACAAACTATAAAACGGCTCATACACATCGTAAGAACAGCGGGTGTCGAGCGCCATGTGTTTTGACTGAAGCCGAGTCACTGCGAGGATCCTTTGGGCTGCGTGAAGCGGAGAGACTTGCGTATGTGCCGCCATTATGTGTCCGTTATTACTATATGTCAGTGAAAATATAGTCATTTACAGCTTATCCCGTGTGAGTGCGCTTCAAGAATCATAGAGGTGCGGCGGTAATTTGAAAAGTAGCAGAGGTCCACAGGTAATACTAATCCTGTGTGAATAGGGCTTACAGAGTAGTTTTAGACTCTTTGGCAGAACTCCAACCTCAGTTTGAACCAATGATTCTAACTAGAACCTAAAAAAAAACTTGAATGCATTTCAAACATGTACCACTCATACCAATACGTACATAGCAAATCACAAAAGTGAAGTTGACTAATATGAATAAGAGTGTGTACCTCCACGCTCAGCTTCTTCTTGGTGTAGACTCCGTAGGCAGCAGTGAAAGCATCGTTGAGCAAGATGAAGACATATCCCTCCACCTCGAAGGCCAGGTCCGAACTGGAACAACACAAATAAGGATCCAAGTTTTCTGCATTCCACGTTTCAGTTTTAGTGCACGAAAGCTTAAAGAACTCACCTCGCAGCCACCAAAGCTCCAAAGACGATGGTCAGCACACTGTACACCAGCCGCTTGGAGAAGGATTTCCTGACCATAAACACATATACACAATCATGGCTTTGGCAAATCTTCCATTCAAGTTCGTCCCAGTCCACTGAATATGATAAACATTGATTAAATATTGTCAATGTTGCACTCACTAACCAATAGCAGACTCAGTTGTAAAGGGCCTCTGAAAATTCAATTCAATTTTTCTTGTATAGCCCTAAATCACAATCACAACAGTAGTTATCTCAGAGGACTTAGCAAAACTGTTGAAATCACCAACACAGATCAGAAAATCAACAGTTAAGACAGAGAAAATATAAAACATATAGGTAGTGGTGCATAGGGAGAGACCAATGTCCATAAATGTGGTTGAATGTTACAGTGTCCTGGATCATCACCACAAAACATCTTGATTCATACTTTAACATGAACATAACATTAGTAACTAATACAATTCATGTATTGTCTTTACTTTACTTATTATTTTTTAAATGATAAATTTAACAAATATAAATGTAATTAGTTGTTTTGGTTGATGCCACATTGCTAAAGCTGAAGTAACAAACATATCATAAAACCGTTATCAAGGGCTAATGAAATTGACTGAATTCAATAGATTACAAAAAGTAATTAAAACATTAAATACTATTTCTTGGCCGTAACCAAATCAGATATTTGTTAGCTGATTAAAAGATGTGAAACTGTTGCACATCCACGGCACAGAACTAATTCCAGTTTAATTTGTTGCTAAACTGCCTGATGCCAACAATGCTCCGATGCGTTTGAATGAATAGTTCAGGATTGTTTGTCTAAAATATGATCATTTTTGTCTTCATTACACATGCGAGTAAGGGTGTAATCAAGTTCGAAATAGATTTATCAAAGGTAATTATCAATAGAACACTCAACATACTGAATATCTGCCCTAAAGACTATGTAAAATGATGTAAAAAAAAAATCCATAAACTACTAGTACTTTTTGACTCTCAAAACACTTGTCTTTTTCTCTCTGTCTCACCTTTAGATAAGCTTCGTTTGTCAATCAGCCTGAAACCTCAGGGACTTGCAAGAAAGCAAAAGATAACACGTTTCCTAATATGATTAAGACGACATGTTTTGGTCCGATTTCTTCACAAAATGTCACTTTTACACGACTCTGGGTTGGGACAGACAAACAATACTCCAAGAGAGAGCCAAGTGGTAAGCCCCCCCCCCACCCACCCTAAGACGGATTTAATTCAGGGCCCCCACAAATGAAGTGGTGTTCTGGGAAGGGGAAGTCTTACCTCAATAAGTACACTTCCAGAACCATAGTCATCAGTATAGTGAACTTCCTCAGCACCGTAAACATGGGCAGACTGAAAACAAAAACAGAAAGTAAAAACATGCATTTTAAATATATTACATACTCAGGTTTGATTGCAGCCCACCTGAGTTTTTGTGTACTCCCCAAGCCTGTGATGTGGTTCCCTGTATACAACAAAGGGAGAGGGAACATCTGCAATCCAAATATGTGTTTACAATAACATGCAAATAAGCTCGATCTACTGTTCTACAGTTGGTATTGACACACACCTTTAGGAAAATGCTTCTGTCAAAGTCTTGAAACTCGACAGCGTTTCTCTTTTTGGCAACATACAGGACAACAATAGTGGTGATCATCTGTAAGACACATGCAAAGGTAGCACTCTCACTTCTCAGAAAAAACACTCCTGGGTTTGAATGCCACTCAGCACAGGGCTTTAGTGGAGTTTGCATGTTCTCGTTGTGGTTTTCTGGTTTACTCTTTCATCAAACATGCGCAACCTTTAACGCAGTTGTGTTCATAATGTCTGTGTGTATACAAACATTCATCACACATTTGTATTATAATCACAGTAATCCTCGCCTTTCAACGCACTGCACACGCTGCATATTCTATTCCAACACAAAACATGAAGAAAATGTATACTTCTTTCCCTTCTTAAACAGAAAAAGAAAAAGGTAAAATAATCATCTGATAAAAAAGAATTGAATGAATATTTCTTTACAAATGTTTTTGTACAAACTGCTATCATTTAGAACATAACTCAACGCTCATGTGGCAAACAGTGTTGAAAAGTAACCCAAATAAAAAAATATATCTATTTAAAGCTAAACTAGATATATGTGAAACTTTCTACAGAAAAATTTCAAAGTTCTCTTGTGCATCTTGACCTACATCAGAACCAGTAGAGTATAATAACAATCCTTACTCATTGCCCAAACTCGAGCATATGTGTTGGTGTGTGTCAACATGCCCTAGTACACACACACACACACACACACAGTAGCACACACACACAAACACACGCAGACACACACCAATGTCCTGATGGTAATCGTATGAATGAACTGATGCATGCTTATGTGAATTATCCATGGGGTAATTCACATAAGCATTTTAACGCTTCTACCTGCTCCTTTTGAGCCCCATGTGGCGTTATAATATGGTCTTAGAATGACACCCAAGCGCTACATTCATTAGTCAGTGGAGTTTAAGAAGAACTACACTAACAACAGGAGAGTGCACCTTGCAGACCTTACCTGTCCTATTCCGAGAAAGGCGTATGAGGGGAACCTACAAAACACAAAGCAATCGCATAATCATAGATACAAATCCACAACAGCATCTTTAAATTGACGTCTGTAAATGACAAGTGACCGTTTGACCCACCTGTAAGTGGTCAGCACCGTCTTGTTCACCATCGTGATACAGAACGAGCAGAGTGCGTAAAACAGTGCGGAGAGAAACTTGAGCGTCCCGGAAGGCTGCGCGCTGCTCTGGGTGCCTGTGGCCGGCATGGTGGGACAGGGATCTGGGGTGGACAACACGCACTTTCTCTGTTTCTCCGCGCAAGGACAGCGGGAGGGGCGACTGATTCCGCTGTCTGTGCGAAATGTTTGGATTTCCTTCCTCTCGGGGCCAAGGGGCGTGTCCAGTAGAAGCTGGTCCCAGTCTACGGTCCCACTGCGCGCAGACACGTGGACTTCTTATGTTTGACAAGTGAGTGCGCTGTTTGACTGTTGGAGTAACAGTAAAACCACATTGGAATACATTTGCACAAGACCCCAGTGTATTGTGACTCCAGGCATGGCATAAAGTCAATTTATTTAAACTTGGAGTGCCTAACTTATAGGCTATAATAACCATGGATCTATAACAATAACAATACATTCAGAACCTGACTTGAAAAGCGGTCCAATTACGCATTATTGTCGTGTCACATTGTTTATTTTGTGAACAGGACTGTGTTTTAATGTAGTATTATGACTAATTTTTAGCCATATGTCAGATCAGATGCAGATTCAGATTCATTTGCAGTAAAACCACATTGGAATACATTTGCAAAAGTTCCCAGTGTATAGTGACTCCAGGCATGGCATAACGTCAATTTACCTAAACTTGGGGGGGCCTTACTTTTACCCCTACATGTCGTTTCTCCCAACAGAAAGAGTCTTGGAATTGTCTTGGGCCCCATATATAAAAAATATGCAATGTCACTAATTATGCATTGAATGTTACATGTTTTTATTTTGTATTTGTAATAAAATGAACTGAACTGAACTGAAATGTTGTAAATTAATCAGACCACAACTGTCTTCCTCTCATCAGAAAACACAATAACCTTTAACTATATGTAAGACAGGAGCAAAGCAATCAGTATGTGCCACAACCAACCATTCACTCACTCTATAGGTAATGTTTGTGAAGTGTCTTGCCTAAGTACACAACAACAGTTCGGCACTTTACAGCCACTGTGTCCCACGGTGTTCCCAGAGGTCTCCCATCACATGGCAAGGCAAGGCAAGTTTATTTATATAGCACAATTCATACACAAGGCAATTCAAAGTGCTGAACAAAACAAGAAAGCATAAAAATCATAAATTATCACAGAACATTAAAAAGAAAGATAAAAATATAAAATCCCTCAGTTGTATGCACAGTTAAACAGAACTGTCTTTAACCTGGTTTTAAACATTGTCAGAGAGGAGGCCTGTCATGCTGGTGGCACCACCGAAGGAGCCCTGTGAGTCACTAAAAGATGCTTTGGGCTGATTTAAGGCTAGTACTCTGACTTAAGACAACATTAATTTAAACATTGTCACACCATAGGGGCATAGATTACTTTTCAATAAAACGTGTAGATACATTGAAATACAGTATTTATTTATTTTTCTGGAATAAATAATCTTAATCTTACCTGGACAGAATGGAGACCGGTTTCAAACATATGAAAACATGAAGAAAAATAACATTACAATGCAAAAACATATAGGATTGTTTGTTTCTAAGCAACACGTGTAACTTTTAGTGAGTGGAATTTATGTAAAGATAGAAGAAATGTTATCCATAGACAATTAAGGTGATCTATTCTAAAACTCTGATAAAACTCCAAGGAACAAAGTTGCCCTGAAAACAAAACCCTCCTCCTTGTCAAGTAGATTTGTTGAGGAGAACTTGTACTTTTCTACTTCTGTCGTGTGTGCTTTACAAACAAAACAAACTAAAGACAGATTAATTGTGTCCTAATGATGAGCTGTTGCAATAATATCCTGTCAACGCCATAAAAACAAACGTGGTTTCAGGTTAGACCGGAAAACTGGAATGCGGCAAACGCGTCACATGTTGATGGTTATCTAAGGCCCCTATAAAAGTTTGACAAAATACCGTTTATTATATGAATGTTTCCCCAGCAGAGATACAGTACAGTACAGTGTAGGTTGTTCTAATGTATCCTCGCCAGTTTGTCAGAGTTGGACCCAAATTCACGCATGAGTAATAACACAGTGCCGCACCCAGTGATGTTTGGCAAAGGTTTTTCATTTAATTTTATAGGCCTATTTTTCAAAAACTTGTCATTCATCTGACAGTCTATTGGTTGTTGTTGTATATGACTAATTTTCGTACACATGATCTTATCTGCTGTCATTTTTTTATTTTGTCAATGGTTCAGTTTACACAACAGTAAGTGGTGTAGCTGGTGCCTCCTGATATGATTTATTTGACTGTGAAATTATGAAAAAATGGGCTTTAAGGCTTTTGATACAATGCTTTAATTCCCCTTTTCACAAGGGCGGCAAATTAATGTTTTATATGTTGGATTCTTTCAGTATAAATATGTTATTAATTCTTATATTATACTCTAAATGTGTTGATCTTGTTTTCAAAATCAGACATATTCACAGTAATAAAAATGTGTATGGCTCCCACAGAAATACATTTTAAGTACAAGACTTTTTTGGCTCTTTAAGCTAAAAAGGGTCCAAACCTCTGCTTTATATTTGTGAGTTTTTTAGTTCAAACTGTCCCAAAAGTATGATTTAACTTTAAATGGAACACATCTTTATTTGAATATTTGACATTTCCTGGTCTATGTTTTATCAATGTGCTGATAAAAAATTGTCAGGAATGCAGCTTGTTGAAACCACTCACAGATAATGCAATCCTGTTGGTGAGATAATGGTGTGTATGCGCAGGTCTTCCACTAGAGGGAGCTGTTTCCGTTTCCTCTCCCTTTCTCTTCAGTGCTGCAAGACCACATTACATTTCAATCCAATTGGCAACAGAAAACACATTCAACAACTCTTATTGTATTTAAGTATATTTTACGTGTTCGTTTCTAAGAGAATTTACAACAGACTTTAACTTTGACCGATATGTTGGCTGTTTTTACTATCTTTGACTGTTTTTCATTAATCATGGACTGTAAAAGGACTTAGGAAGATAGAGACATGTTGGCTGAGTGGACAGCAATCTCGCTTCTCAGATTCTGGGATTGACTGGGATTCTCAGGGTTCGAATCCCAGTCGGAACAGGGCCTTTCTGAGTGGAGTTTGCATGCTCTCCCCGTGTCTGCGTAGGTGTCCTCCGGGTGCTCTGGTTTCCCCTACCACTAAAAACATGTACAACAGGTCTGCCATGCGCCTCCTGTACTGACGACCCTGCTCCCATCTTTCTGTGGAGTGAGAGACAGTAGATAGTATAGACACCAGTATTGAGCAAGTGGTGAAAAGGTGGTACTGCACCCTAAAACTCCCCAGAAAGGGGACGGCGCTCTTGAGCAAGTGGTGAAAGGTGTTACTGCACGGTATTTTTCAAAGAGTTTTAATGAGTTAGATTCTGTTGACCCTGTGTGTGTGTGATAAAGTAAATGCTTCACAGTTGTCTAAAGTGATTTATGATCACGGTTTATTCTAAAACAGTTAGGAATAGCTAAGCTGCAGGGAGGACCTGTTAACGACACTTAGGTGTGTTTGTGTGATAGCGTTATCATGATGACGGTTGGGAGGTCGTACTAACAACAAATCAGAATGGGTGGGAGGTGTGTTTACACCGTCCTATTAGACTGAGGAGGGTTTGTGATAGGTTGCTCTGTTTAAGGAGGCCCTATATAGGCCTCTGATTACACATAAGAATAACTTTTTTTCTACACCAAACCAGCAATGCCTACTCCTCAAAGATCTCAAACTTTTTTTTTTCATATGAGAGTTTTTCATTGCTGATGCAGGATGGGTTTGTTACACAGTTATTGAGAAACTAGAAGGACTGTGGTGATGAGCCAGGACACTTTTAATATTCTACAACATGTAGTGGTCTATAGTCCTTTATGTGTTTTAACTGCTGATTCTCCGATCTGTGTTGGTGATTTTCAGTAGTTTTTGGTAAGTCCTCTGAGATGACTACAGTTGTGATTTAGGGCTATACAAGACTAAATTGTATTGTATTGTATAGGTGTTTTTTTTATTTTTTCTGTAACAAGAGGTACTGCATCCAAACTCTGAAAGAGCGACACTTAGGTGTGTGCGTGTGTGTGTGTGTGTGTGTATGTGTGATAACCTTATCATGTGGCCCAGAGTGTTGCACTAAAACAATAGGGGGATAGTTGTTATTTTCCAACTGGTACACCAGTATGAACGATCCGTGTGAAACTCACCTGATGACAAAGGTTCCGTGGAGCAAAAACACATATATTTTTTTAGTCGCGTTTATCAATCGTAATTAATGCGTTATAATCCTAACCCTATTCATAAGGTAGTAGTCTCTATATCAATTTAATTGTCCAATACAATAAAAATAAGAACCCTAGATACATATATGTACACAGTTTGAAACAGAGTAGGTAGATGTGAAACTAGGGTCCTTGGTACAGGTTTTCTTTTTACTGGAGATCAAATGATTTAAAGGCGTACATCTCTCAGATATACAATTGACACTTGTTACCATAAATAGTCATCTTAAAGACTGATTAAACAACCATATTACATACCTTAAACATTTATGTACAACATTTTACCAAAACACAAACCATTAATTAAAATCCAGATTTTCTTATTATGTAACACTCTCATATTTATTGAGTATAGTAGTTTTGTTGTTTCTTAAAAACCATGATTTTTATTTTGACTCTTTAATGTCTTTGTTAAGTTGATTCCTTCCAGAGACCATTCTTCCCATGACTTTAGTTCTGAATCTAGTTTTTATTAAAGATATCAGTTACAGATTGTATCGACTTTGTCTTTTTTTCCAAAGTTCTCGTAGATGTTTTCTGCTAATGTTTTGCAATTTACCTTATACAATGTAGGATAAATAGTATAATCCACTATAACATATAATTTTAACACCAAGCACTCAAAAACAGGATTTGATGAATCTCGATATATTTTCCTTCTGGTCTTTTTTTTAACTATAGGCTGTGTTAAACGTTGTCTCCAAATGTTGACAACATAGGTGAGGTCGGTATAATCATTCTAGTATCTAAGGTCAGTAATGCTGAGCGGTGTTTTCGTAGATGTTTTCTGCT